ATAGATTAATGTAAACTATTCTTCACCTCTTAGTTCAGGCATTTCATCTACGATTATATTTTTTGTCAAGCTTTGTAAGTTATTTCTGGTATAGTAAACGCGACCATGAATACGTGCGAAACCTGAACATAAATAGTATTTCCATTCATGTTAAAAAATTCAACTCGAACGCTATAAAGTTTCAGACTTGCACCCAACTGAACCTTTCTTAAGTCTAATTCTGAGAACGCTAAGTACCAGTGCCCTAAGTATTGTAAAGAAAGATAATGTACCAAGCAAGCTACTGAATTCCATCTGCATGTATATTGATTCCTATTTGAAGCTCAACACGAATAGGTTATTAACTTTTTGATCTATTTACGAGAAATGAATTTTTATGCAAATCGTACGAAATTAATCTCCCGACAGATTCAGTTTAATTAAATCGCTCTCATCTTTGTCTTTAATTCGTCATTGTATAAGCATTCCAAGATGCTTGTACGTAAATAAAACTGAAATAGCTTTCTCTACAGACTCTTTATAGGAGATAGTAGAGAACTATGACGACTGGTATAATGATAGGTACAGAATGATAGCCGTATTAGTTGCAGAAATCATACGTTTCTGTTCTGTAAGTGGTGTGAAAGTGTGGCACCCAGTGATAGCGGCATTAATGCATGATGAATAGTGCAAGAACGGTCACTGTTTAGTAATCACGTCGCAGCCGTTGAAATAATTCAAATCGAGGGTAACGATGTGTTAGTAAGCGAATTATCACGTGTGTTTATTACGTGTTTTTATTCTAACAGTACAATGTAACGCGCAAATTAAGAGACAGTAGTAGCAAATACATCAGTAGAGATTGCCAACAATGAAATAGCTGCATGTAGTAGAATTATTGTAGCGCTCGACACTATATAGGTTGAAAATTTTCATGAATTAATATGTACAGTACTGTAAAGGTTAACCTCATCTATGTAGTAATATAGCATGTAATTATTATTCACTGTCAATATAAGGTACATATGAATGTAGTAAATGAATAATCTGATCAACTATATTTACATATATAATTATTAGATTTTTATCTATAACATTATATACTGAACATAATATACCGGATTACTGTGCTGTTCGCAATATCTGCCTTCATTGTCTATTGTAATTGCAACAGCTATGACGAACATGTGTCAAAGCGAACAGTATATTCTTTTACAGCTTCGTGTTCGTAATTAATTGCATACCATCCTAATGTCTGCTAAATGCAGCATAACAATAAAATTTTCAGACGTACTAACGATGCTACTGAAAGCATCTCAGGCTTGACCCTTAGGTAGACTGAACGCTATATTATCAATAAGAACAGATGAGGCATTACTCTACATGCAAGTATATTACCTAAACTGATTATGAGAGACATTACAATAACTTAACCTGTAGATTGTAAACTAAGCTAAATTAAAATAATTAAATTTAGTATTAACAGGAACATTTTACCTACTCGTAGAAGCGGAATAAATCGCATTGTAGACTGTATTGACGTCAAGAACAATACTTTGCTAGTTAAAGCCCATAGTCGTATACTGAACCCAGTCATATTCAGTAAATGTTACGAAATTACGATAAATATCAAGAAAATTATGGTAAAGAATCGGCGTTATATAACCGTCATCTGGGCATAAAGGGTTAAGTGTAATACAACAGTATACGTACAGTGCAATAATTGCAGAATATTAATGAAAGAAATAAAACTGCTGAAAGCGAAATAGAACCAATGCGTAGTACACATACTGTAGTAGATCAAAATCCACTCTCGAGGTTGATGTGCCTAGCATTTGGCTGTCCCGGAATATTATACTTCGTATTCGCATTTGCAAAGTATTACGTGTCAATGTTACAGTTCTACAAACAGTAATTGATAATCAAGCCTAAATAAAGACTTAAATACAGTACACGTACAAAAAAATTAGCGGATTCCCAAATTCGGTAGTAAGATTGCGACGTAAATATGACTGCTTGGAAATTGTTAACTGTAAATTAATCAACTGAGCTTAATTTATCAATTTTTAGAATTAGAGGAGATAAAATATGATAAACTAATACCTTCCGACGGCATAAACACTTAAGATATGGAACACAATCGGGGATTACTAGAGGATGCAGCATTCTCTGGTACTACTGTACTGTACTACATAAATGTAGAACACACGCGTAAATTCTGTTAATGCACCATTAGCATGTAATTTCCGTATGTTCAAAACACAACTTAAGCTTCGGCTATCAATGCTACTGTATGTGTTTGGATCTTTTCTGTACTGTATACAGCTTTGGTGGGAATAAACTAATGTAATTCCTATGGCAAAAATTTGATATCTATGCTCATTTACCAAAATTATTAATTGTAAGTAACTATTACAATTAGTAACGACTGTTTCGCATAACTAGATCTGTAAAGGTTCTAGATCCTTCAAGACGTTCTGAAGCAAGAACCTTTCGGGATTTCGATTTTTCACTGGGAACTGGTTCTTGTTCGATTCAGCACAGCTTAATCTGCGTTCCACGTTACAGTATAGTACCGTACACGATAGACTCGATAAGTCTAAAGTACAATATCATAGTAGAGAGAAAAAAATTCAATGGTGAATCCGATACAGCAAATCGTAAATCTTGTATCTCATGTTGACGAGGGCTACCTAGTAATGACATTGATCTGTCAAAGCAACCTGCCAAATTGTATATTATGCGTATGCTAGCCAATCTAAACCTGCATAGTGATGGATGTGGAAATTTCTATACGTACAGTAAGTATAGAGTTTAGCAGTTTAGAGGTTGAGATTTTTTTATTAAAGTTCTTTCACACTTTTAAAGTGATGAAGACTATCTACACTGTACGCTGATTCCGGAAGTATGCATAGTTTTTTCTCTCCCACTCTCCGTTTGGCCGTGATGGTATTACAAAAAAATCGTCTTTTACTTTATGCACACACAGTAGATTATTATTATTATTAAGACTCATTGGCAGCGTCAAAAGCGCCTAACAATGATTAAACTCTTTATTGAGCAATAAGATACAACCCCCAAGATCTTTTAACCTCATTAGCAGTTCGCGGATCAATTTCATAAAGTGTTTAATATCGTCCTCTATAAAAGACTCCGATGGTTCGTATCTAATTCCCGGCGTACCGCATAGTTCACCCATCTATTAGATTTAGATTCGGGCAAGAGCTAAGTTGCGAACAGATACATTGGAATGCAACGTGCAAATCAATATCCAGCATTCTACAATACTCTACTGTACAATACGCGTATGTGCCATTCGCTAAAGTTATTTACAACTTTACCTTCACTGTGTAGGAATTCCAAAACAAGATAAAATTTGAAAAGAAATTCCATAATATTATTATTACAGTGCTGTGAATCATATCCAATTTGTATACCTTTAGAACGATACATAATAGAGCGCATTGAAGACCGTAGTATATCACTACTGCAGTCATTAACTCTTCCAATCAAATGCATGAAATTTAAAGGACCAAGTTCATCGAGCAACATCATGCAGAAATTTACATTTAATAATTAACCATCGTCAACTTACAATTTTGGGCCATCACTAAATGCGCTGCGTAAGACAGCAATTCAAGGGATGATTTCTCTTTATTATCCATGCCTCAATAATTATAATAATTTAACTTCTGACGAGCATACAGTATACAGTAGTACAGTATAAATATGCACTATACAGTATATATATGTATGTTGTATAATAGTACTGTACAGTATCTCAGTGGTTTTGCAAATTGAGATTCGACTACGTCATATATTATTGCATAAACGCTTCTTTTACAAGTTATTAAATGATCATCTAGTATCTTCCTCGTTCTCCTTGTGCAGAAAAAGAAAGAAAGAAATATGTACAATTCTACAGTAACTTTACTTTATTACTAAACCCCAAATCAGCTAAAAGTGTACTGTACAGTATCAAACTCGGTACTGATCTGGCGTAGAGTATTGTACTGTGGCCGTGTACTGTACTGTATTGTACTGTACTGTGAGTCTAACTGTGACCATACAGTACGAGAATAGCAAAAGTTGTTTCACATTGTGAGAGGGGTAAGCAATGATTCAAACAACTTTTGCTATTCTCGTATGGTCGACTGCACACTATTAGAATAATGTATCATCGTTTAAGCTATTTACGCTGAGTATCTGAGTAATCGGGATTATTATGGCTGGGGCCTACTGCACACTGTGCACAGTGTACAGTACAGTACTGTACTACAGTATACTGTACATGTACTGTGCAGTACACTACAGTCCAAAGAGGAAAAAGAACCTCTACAGTACAGTACAGTACTGTACAGTGTGGACGGGCTAATTTCTATGATTTTGGTGCAAACAGATGGATTAAATTTTTTTTTTTTTTTTGACAAATTTTATATCAGTCTATAGTACAATTTGCATGGATGAAATAATTAGAAATAAAATTATATGAACGAGAGAATGAGTCAAAGACAACTGTGGTGTGCTTTATTGTACATACAGAGTACTGGACCATACCATACCGTATGATTATTACATTTTAAATAAGTAAAAGAAATCTTATAATATCAGATATTAAATTCAAAACCAACTGACATGCACTACTATACGCGGCAACATAATTACAATATAAGAGGTTGATGCTTATGTTAATCAACTGCATGAGACACGCAATCAAACCGCTCGCTACTAATTATATATAATTATTGAACTACGAGTATTCAGTTTCTGCAAAGACTAAAAATAATCTCAAATGCATTGACAAGCTTATGTACAGACGCAAACTTAGCCAACTAAAATGTTTTATACCTTAATAAATGACAATTCTCTAACAACACTTAGTGTGTGCATAACAACTTTGTAACATTATTAAAAAATTAGTACCCATAATATAAATCGATTTACAATCAGTGGTCTAAACGCAACTAAAGACTATAAAGATCTAAGCAATAGTATCTAGCAATTATTATAAAGGCTAGAGTTTAAACAGAGGTTACAGTTTTAACATCAGCATTCAAGTATTCGCTTGTTGATGTTGTCTCTAAGTTGTACTTCGAAAAAGTAAACATTTTACAGAAAACTTTAAAACATTCAGATCTGATGTCGGGCGAGAAGTATCCGTACATTAGCGGATTAAGAGCTGGATATGAAAATGCAATAAAAGAGGTTATAACTAAAGCCTCTGATCGCACTTGCGTTCTTGGATCGGAAATTTTTTCTTGCTGGATAATGAACATGATAACAAATGGACAAAATCCCAGGCAAAATGTACAGAGAAGGATGGCCATTTGACGTAAGGCTTTGATATCGTAAATGATGATAGACAAACTTCTTCTACGCGTCATCTTCTGATTAAATGAGTTCATCCTCTGGCGATGTGAATAACTTGTAGAAATGATCCTAGTGTATGTTAGTAAAATCACCACTAAAGGTAGAAAGAATAGAATTGAAAATATTGCAAACAAGAACGCTTTCTCAGCAACCAAATCATTTGCCCAAATTGTACAGTAAGTTGCATTAACAGGTCTAAATGTCACTAAAGGAAGCATTGGTACAACTGTTGCAATACTCCAAATACTGATAAGCAATAAAATTAAGTTCCGTGTTGTAGACTGTCTAGGGTAATTAAAAGGGTACATTACAGCAAAATATCGATCAAAACTAATGACGCAGATATGAATATTGAGATTAATTACTAAAGACTGGCCAATCTGGCGCGTTATGTCACAAAGAATCGGTGTCTGCAATCCATCTGGATTAGCCCATCGTGGTAAAATGTAAATTGCTCCAAAAAGAATCCCCACAAAGGCCATGCTAGCTATTATCCGATGTGAAAATGTCCATAATTTTCTCCTTAATAATATCAACAACAGTAATGAGGTATTAGTTACTACAGTCAACGCTCCAGTAACGCTCCAATATACTTGTGTGAAAACATATCCATCATTAGTTCTGGGGTTCTCTAGAGAGCTATTAACAGCAGAAGTATTAGCCATGCTTTAACTACAACTTGACTTCCTATGTCACATGAAATTTGACATCAAAAGTCATAGATAGCTATTTTAATTCATGTAGAATTCGAGTTTTAAAAAATGATAATTAGATTTAAAATTGAATGTAAATATTGACGTAGACAAGATCTGGCGCCGAGTTTAGGCAACACTAAAGCTTCTTTAGAAGTCAAATCGACTAGCTGCCTTCCTGGATATAGCGTGACAATGTTTTTCATTCGAAATTTATATGCAATAGCAAACTATCGTCTCCTTTAAAGCTGTGAATTCCTAGTTTAAATGGAATAATTTGCTTTAAATTTAGCACAGAAACGGTTACGCATTGCAATTCATAACAATAATATTTTATCACTTCATTCTACTAAAACGAATCGAACACCTGCATGTAATTTAAACGGTGTCGGCTACTTTTACGTACTGTTATATACCGTGCAAGCTGTGATACATATCAAAGTCTATATCAAATACTACTACATCTCTACATAATTTATCTTACTTCAGAATTTTCCAGTTCATAGTGACTGCAATGTCCAATACAAACACAATCGATAAGTAAAAATAAACAACTTTACAAATAGGACTGGGTCAGCCATTATAAACATAAATCTTGTGCTATGAATGCCAAAACATTTACATTTCAACCACTTTATTCTACCGAGTCCGAGATCAATACTTCAAGAAACGAATACGAAAGGTTCCAGATTTTGATTCAACTATTATTCCGGAGACACTGCATAACAGTAACTTATTGCAAAGCACAATGTAACAAACAAACAATTGTAGACAATACTAGACAACCAAGAAGGCAACATCAACAACAAATCTAGGAAAACATACATATTTATTGATTCAGCTGATATCAATGAAACGGATTAAATATTATCTACTTTGCCTTTAAAGTGTAGGTCTAATACGACTATAATAATCCCGATGGAAGTCTGGTGCTTGCAATTACGGTTCAAAGTTTCCTCGTCTACTTTAGGAACATAATCATTATATAATTATATTAGTCCGATATTAATTTGTTGATGTAAATTTCAAAATTTAATAGAATTTTTAAAATCATATTTAATCAGATTATTTATTAATTAAAGTACAATCAATCATTTTTATTAATATGGCAATACCCAAATCTAAGAAAATTTATGGATGAATTGTATAACATTACAACTTTGGTAAATAGTGCATAATACGGTAAGTTGTATGGAGTTTTCGTTTCTTGGCCTTCTTAAATTTACGTTTGCAGTTAATACCAATCTTGGGCGAGTAGTTGAAGTGTTTCCTACTGGAATTGGGTCCAAAGCGACAAGTTTGTCGATAAGCGTAACATCAGTGAATAGATAGAGCTAGCTGACCACCTCCGTTCACAATGAACGGAGTCACTAGACCTGCTATCGTAGTATAGCTATAAGTCTGTATCTTAAGCTCTCTAGCAGCTGCTAATGCTACATATGGCTGCTTATATCGGTTCACTATGAACGGGAACAGTGTCTGTCTGTATCTGTACGTATATGTAGAGTTCTCCAACAACTGCCAGTTCTGTATATTGTACGTACCTAGGTCCTCTATATCCAAAGCTTTCTAGCAACTACTAGTGCCATATACGATTCTCTATATCAGTTCGCTATGAACGGCAATTGCCACTGTATATGTCGGCCTTTGTGTATATTTAGCTATCGATATCTATACCTCCAGTAGTGTACATGTACATTGTACAGTACAGCACGTAGAGCTCTCCAATAGTGTTAGTGCTATATATAGCTATCTATAACGTACTACCGTATACAGTTTTTTCATCATTTTATAGCACCTTCGCATGTTAAATTATCACTTCAGAAAGTAATTATCCCATTATCGAAGTAATTTTAAAATCTTATATAAAGGTTCGATTTTAAATATAACCATCCATATTCGATGAAAGTCGAAAGTGTAACGTGCTTTGGAATGATTAGATGGACCAGACAGACAGCTTTTCAAAAATATATATGTTTATTATATTATTTATATATATACGTATGTTATATTAATTAATTACATACAGTACGTATATCGTTATGAGGAAATGTGATGATACATAAAGTAAAAAGTATAGCATGCGATGTAGAACGAATGAGTATCGACTAATACAAAACTCTGTATATAGTAGCTACAGAAGAACTGCCTGCCGTTTATGATCAGCTGTAATTTGTGTAATAGGCAATCAGACGCCTCGTACTTATACCTTCTCTATAACGAAAATATTACAATCGATATACGGTACGTACTGCATAACGACCAGTAATAATTATATAATGTAAACGTGGAGTTTTTTGTTATTAAAAAAAGGGGAGATGTAATATTACCCTGAATTGTATACGTGATTTAGTTTAATAATGTGATCCGTTTCCTTAGATATGTTTTAATACTAAAAACTATAAGTAAAACGCTTAAAAAAGACCAATCGTTATGAACCTTCCTATACAAATAGGTCTCTTATTAGAAAGTAGCCTTCTAATTGATTAATCTTTATCCCGATGAAAATTTGCTTAATTAGAAATGGCTACCGTAAATTTACTGCTTAAATGTAAACTGAATTACGGATATAGAATCTCTCAAAGTCAAGAGCTATATTAAAACCATGCCTTTGCGATCAATTTTGTACAAATTGATGCAAAAACTCTAATAAATTTTAAATTTTTTTATTTATTTTATTTTAAAATCGAAATGTATCGGATCACGTGGTATACAGTACGAAGCTAATTGATAAGCGTCACTTGTCTACTGTACTGTACTGTAAGAAATTTCCATTTAGTACTGTAACAATTTTAGACTACTGTACTGTACTGTAGTACAGTACAGTACATGTATTTGCAGATTTTACGTGAAGATTAGAACTAATTTAAAGAAGCGAAAGCCAGATTTACAGTACAGTACAGTACATCCCTGAATTATTGGGCTACGCCTACATTTAAGATTTTATCTGCTTTGGGCTTGACATAGCCTACACAGTTTATTTTTCTTAGTGCCACCGAAGTTAATCCCGCTGTACTGTACAGTACACTACAGTATGATACTGTATATTGTAGACCAGTTCTACAGTACAGTATTACTAGCCTCTCGGTATCTGATTCCTGTTCAACAACCTAAATAAATATCTTGATACTTCTCTGAGTCTAAAGACAAGTCTGAATCACTGAGTTTCCAATTAAGGAAAATAGTACAAAAGCAGGGACTTCTCAAGAAAAATAAATTTCATGAAGAGCCTCACAATCTCTAGAACTTATGGTTTTGCATGTTTCTTCAAGCAGGCGTACAGTAGCGGGTCTCTAAAAAACGTTCATTACAGTTACAGTCTCAGCTGCGTATGACAACAATCGCACAAACTAAACCTCAAAATTTTTTGCTATTCAGTACAGTACTGTACATACGGTATAGTGTAATGTACTGTACTGTACTGTACATGATTGTGCCTTAATTAATTAATTAAATTTAGCTGCCTAAAACATGACCCTAAATCATTCTACTGTAGTGCATCTAGTGGACGGTTACAGTTTCGGGTATGGTAAAACGATTGTTAAATGGCACCTACACATTTTGTCGGCTAAATGCGGTTATGTCCTGTCCATAGAGTTAAGGAAAACTCTATGGTCTTGTCTCTCATTATCGAGTACAGTACAGTACTGTACGTACTACCTGCTTTAACGAAACCCTCGCTCTTGATTTGCGATATTTCGTGTGCTGTTAAGCTGCACTGGTACGTTTTACTACAGTAAAGTATGGTTGCAATTTACGACATTTTAGGTTTTAAGTATTACATCCAACCGATACAGTGCAGAGTGTTAAGGTGCATTGCTGATTTAATATTGACTGATAGTAAATTGCCCTAGCTAGCAAAACATGCGAGATGCTTCAAACTATCGATTCCTATGTTTTACTTGCTAGCGTAAATTACTATCTGTCAATTGACAATACATCTTATATTGCAATTTGCAAGTTCGTTATGTCGTGCTCGAATCTTTTCAAGGGTTTATGGTTACAACTTTGCAAGTATTAAAGAGTATCAATGCCGGCAGTTTTTTGACGTGCTGTATTACCCTAGTTATACAGTATTGTACCTAGTAACGTACTGCACTGTACTGTACACTGAACACTAGTGTACAGTACTAGAATATTCGCTTTTGATTACATTTACATTTATTCACTCTTAACGCAATAAATATAATGATTATTATAATAATAATAATAATTAATCATAAACATTAAGCATAATGAAATGGTTGCCATGGAAATAGCTCCACCGATACAGTACTTATTATAAAACCAGTACGTACAGCAACATACGAAGATCTTCGACCGTTGCCAATCAAAGTTTACCAAGTACTGTACTGGCAGACGACATCAACTTTAAATATCAAACTTTCCTAGATTTACAGTATTACCTACGACTTCGATTGAGAGTAATTATTACTTATCAGTATGTATAAGTTGGATCTACCGATAGACAATACAGAAAATGCAGCAATTCAAAGACGACGAAATCAGGAAATTCAACGAAAAAGCCAAATTTTTGACGCGAGAACAAGAATCGTTGGTGTAAGTCTACATCAGATCACATTACAATACAGTGCAGATCTTATCGTGTGTGTATTCTAGCTGCATATTCATTCTAAGTCATCTTAAAATTTCGAAATTAAAGTACACTAGCGTTTGGCCGTGATAGTATTCTTATAAATCGTAATTATCTCACGTTATGGGACTGAACCTATGAATAGAAATGTAGAATTACGACTATTTATCGCAAATTAACATCTCTTCCAATTTTCCTGTTTCTAGGTTGATACATCTGCTCTCAATAATCAAATAATAGAAAAGCAAAACCGAATCGCTACTGAAAAAGCTAGAAATGAAGCATTTGGTAATTAATAGATACAGCCAGTTGTAGTGAAATTTTATATGGTATTTTTTCTTAAATTTACAGTAAAATAAAGCAATAGCGTCATGCGTTTCCAATAAAATCATTATAAATATTACGCTATATATGCAAAATGTCTTGTCACAACGTTAATATGTTCTGATGCATCTAACTACTAAGTGTATGTGCTAAATTAACAACTTATGGAAACCTATGAAAACAATTCATATGATCTCACTCTTTACTTTTAAAATCACGCCAATATTAGCTGACATAGCAATAACAAATGACAAGCTAGGATTAATACAACAAGAAAGAGAAGATGAGGCTCGGAAACAATTAAGCAAGGTAAGCAATTATAGTTGCTTATATGCTACTGCAACAATTACAATTAGGGTTACAGACTGTATCTTAAATTCTGTAGTACTGCACATATCATATGTGAGTGTCAGAATGAGTGTAATACTGTACATTAGACCGTCACTTAAAGACGCATTAAACCTCTGATTGTATCCATCTGTATACGTATATAAATTTTTGCAACGCAGGAGCTAAACGAATATCGAAAAACCTATCAACAACCACCCACTAGAAAAGAATGGGATCTCAATGACCCACAGAGACTGTTAAAAGATAAACCTGTTCGGGTAACTAACCATTTACAAAAATAGGAATATAATTACCGAAGATTTTGATATGTTCAGTTGTTGACACTTACTTCGTTTAACGTATCATTAGATGCCCGGCAATGAAAACTGTGGAATTTCTAGTGTTCAAGTGTTACAAGGCGAGGTCAGTTAGACAGTTCATATACTATTAAAGAGATTATCTAGAAGTGTAGGTCATTTTTCCTTATAAAGACTCTATTACGTAGGATGTACAATATGAACATAGAAAAAAAATACAGGCAGAACAGTTACGGTACGTAAGTAAACAAATTAACCGATAAGCAGTATCATAAAAAGTTGTATTGTATAGCCATATAGTTAGTAATAATATGCAGATTTCCGTTTTTTAATGACTCTTTCCTTTCTTCAGATCATGGACGCAAAAACAGATGGAAGAAAAAAAGCTTCAGGAACGCGAAGAATACGAAGCTAACAAACTATTTTACATGAAAGCCTGCGAAGATGATAGAAAGGCCTTAGAGGTATTTTCCTTCAAGCAATATAGTTATACAAAATGCAATAAGATTGCTTATCTCACTTCTTAACATTCAGCTGGAAGAAGCAGAGAAAGATTGCAAGCGAAATATTAATCTTGCAGTAAAGGACTATAATTTGGCACTGGTAATAAATGTAATGAGTAAAATTTGCATGCATACTCTTAAGTAACTCAAATTTGATCATCGTAGGCAAATCATAAAAGAGACCGTGAACAAGCTTTTAAGAAGCAAGAGTTCGATGATAATTTTACAGAGCTTAGCAACCATTTGCACGGAGATCTCCTTACAGAAAATCCTGAAGCGTCAGTAAGCGCCTACGGCCCTCACAGGTTGGTTAAATTATCTTTAATATTACCGAATGTATTATTGAAATCCGCACATTATAATTGAAATATCTCATAGTTGTTCTAACATGCCCGATTCTACCATACTATTACATTCTATTCTACAGAGTTATACCTGATCGTTGGAAAGGAATGAGTAAGGAGCAATTAAACTCAATATACGAATTTCAAAAGCAGCAACGTTTGGATAAAATGGTAAAGTATAATATGCCACTAAATCGCAAATTATTTCGAAACTAAATATATAACTTTAATAGACATCTAAAGTGCACGATAAAGAAAGTGACAACGAATGGGTTGCAAATAATAAGAATGTCGGACGAATGACAATGCTAATTGAAAATGAACAGGAACAAAAAAGACGAGCCTTAGCCAAACAGTTTATGGAAGACAACAAAATTCTTGCGAATGAGCAAGATGCAAGGTATATTGTCCTAACCCATGTAAATCTTATCGGCTTACCAAATGCCTTTTTTACGTTACGACTAGTTGATGATGAGAACATGACACATTTACATTAAATCCTAATTAACACGTTTTGATGTTTATTTAGAAAAAAACAACTTAATCATGATACGTACAGAAATGAAGTAACAGAAGATTTCTTCAAACAATTCAATACGGCAACTAGATAACTGGATCTGAACCGATAATTTGTAGCTCTTAAATATTTATGCTTCTCTGCACTACCTGATCATATAGTGGTGATAGTAAATCATTTTTCATTTTCTGTACGTATCAATTTAAAGAATGTACGTCAAATAATCTCTGACTCATTTTTACTTAAAGCTAACAATAGTGCAGAAAGGAGATCAGGATAACAATGTTATCGTACGGTAGTATCTAATGTCATTACAAATGAATTACTACAGTACATCTTTTATCACTATTCTATATGTGCTTGCCAGCTTCTATCGTGCATCATACAGTTAATCGGACAATTATTTGCATGGCTACAATTCTTACTATTCAGTTATCAATTAAATGTCAGGTGCCTGTATGTTAAGAACACTATCGAACCTGTACGTGTTCATTTAAAGCATAGTATACGTACTAAACAGCAAGCATTGCATTGCTTAGCTAAATCTAGATAGTATCATATCTATTATTAGCTCATAATTACTATAAATTTGCTTATTACTCGTAACCGACAATTTGTTCTTCTACAAACAATATCTTACAAAATAAATAAACCAATTAACAGACCTTTGTCAATTTTCTATACATTATATCGTTATATACCTCTCATATAGTTTGGCACTCTCTCAGGCTGCAGTTCAACACGTTCTTCATTCTTATTCAGTTACTCTCACGCCTGTCTATGTGCCTACGATACATTCGTATCTATAAGCGATCTATGCCGCATACGCGCATGTAAGTAACAAGGTGAGCACTGTTACTGTATCACTAAAACTCTTAAGACATTACGTCAGGGTTTACTAATTATCGCTTAATTCTATGTTTATAACATTACAGTTCCGTTACATACAGGACGATGAGATGTTATCATCCTGATTTACGAAACATCAAAGGTGGATCATTTACTATATAAGATCTCAATATATTCGTATCTCCTTTGATTCTGTGACCTAGCCCTAGGTCTTTGCTGCCCCAAAATTTCTATCAATTAGCAGCATTCTATATTTTAGGCCTTACAGATTAATTTTTTGCAAATTTTAATAAGGACTAACCTTAACCCTTAACGATCGATATCCCCAAATAGGAAAATCATTTATTTAATTTATTGAATAATAATATTTGAAAAGCCAATTACAACACTATCCACTGTAAATAAAAAAAGCAGAACACTGAAACATACAGGGAACCGTATTTACTGACTACGAAGAAATTTATACACTGTAATACGCAGATGAGCTAGCTCTAGGCTTCAATAAGAAAGTGCGAGTATACATGTTAATAATTGCATTATAATGAATCTGAATTCTTCGTAGAATACAAATCGTATCAACAATCGTATAGTTATAGACTCTTAAATGATGCACTTAGTAATCAGGTAACAATTAGGAATACGCAGGTGTGGTAGTATCTCAGGTAGTTGGACAAAGATTATAGAGATAAAGAAAAGATCTTTATTAAAGAGGCAGATATACCTAACTAGCAGAGATCAGTTTTAGCATGGAGCCAACTTAGAAACGCAATAACTCTCCCCAGCTACATCTAACAACCACATATATTGTGCAGTACAGTAAGCATAACAATCACATGATATATCATGGTAGTTTGCTGAGTTAGATAAGAGTCATTGAACGAGCTTGTATAAGTAGACATATACTGGGTTATACGATAGTAGGCACTGTTAAACTTAGAAGCCTAAGAACACGATTCGTATATTGCATACAGATAGTATAATCTTACTGTAGTATATCAATAAGGCTGCAGTATACTGTACTGGTAAATTGATTCTTACAGTTATTATACCAATCGAATCACATCTTTGGAAACCTTGCAAACGTATACGTAAACATAAAACAACATTGAGCATATTTAAAATAAATATATATATATGATACGGCCAAAGCCGGTAATGTAGCCATTACCTAAGTATATTTTATATATAATTGATGTTATTACTTACTAATTAAACAGGATGTAAATAAGTTTAATTCCATATCATTTGCATATTATTCCGATAATTTAATTATAATAGTGTATTTTTGGGGGTCGGAAACAGACTTTGTTAGAATTGCTACGCGATGCAACATTGTGCGGTATGTCGGCTTAAATTCGTACAAATACGTAAGTCTGCACTAGATATTGTTAATTAATCTAATCTATGGTGCCTTAAGTATCTAGTTATAGACAGACCATCATAGGTCTTAAATCTAAAGCCAAAATTCTTAATTGATATTACACTGACTAACTGCAGACGTAATTAAAATTAGAAGATTCAACCTTGTGCCGTCATATTAAACTAAACTTGCATTCAATGTAACCGTTTAAAGTTTGCGAAAGTTGAAAATTGGCAATATCGAAGTAACGATAGCGTCATTAAAAACATACAAAACATTATGCGAGTTATCAACAATTATAATCATTACAGTTTTCATAAAGCCAAGTAATATTTTAATATACTACTCTATACAAGTATTATCACTGACCAATCATAGTCTAGCTCGATGGCGGCATCCACATTATCTCAACATGTATAAACTTTCATAGTGTTATGTACCGGATAAAAGCACTCCTGAATTTATAGAGCTTGATATGGTAATAGAGAGATAATAAAAATGAAGTCTTGCAAACTGCCAAATGAATGGTCATAAATAATCGTAAACAATGTTATGTTAGCATCTATCTAAATTTTCTACATAATTAATAAAATATGACCTTCTAATTTCCGATGTTCGCTGCAATTAGAGAATTATATCATCCCATCCTTTAAATCCTAAATATAACTTAAGGAAGTGGGAGTGAGCTGCTGTTAGTATTAAAATAAACAACGTATTAGTAACGCGGTAATGCAACAATAAAACGTTTAACTTGTTATCTAAATGAAGATAAGTACAAACGGAGATTAGGTATTATGTAAATATTTATATAATCAATGTTTCAATAACACATATAGGTTTAGGATAAATTGTAACAAATGTGAAACATTTACGACCAAATAAAGTTCCTGAAGCTCCTGGTGGTAACCTTATAGAGAATAGTAACTTATAGCCTCGAATCATGATGAATACAGAGTTCATATTTTATGTTTGCTATTTACTAGAACGTATGAGCAATAATATTAATTTTATATTTATCTATCTATGTCTGGTATAAATAACCGGCTGCCAGCTGTTCTAACGTTACAGTAGAGATGGTACTCAAAACAAAGTATTTAAAAACTCGAAGTTATTCGTAAAAGACTCAAATTAAGCAAACTGTAAGAGAAGGAATCAAAAAGCAGCGAAAACAGATGTGGCATATGGAAGGCATATCATATTTTGTTCTCTTTTACCTTATCCTTGCTGGTACAAACACCAATGGTGTCAGTATCAAAACGGACGAAAATTCTTCCTCAAAATCGCAAACGGATACTAATAAACAGGGTAAAGAGCTATATTAATTCGTTTTTCAGTATTCTTTACTACTAGTAGTAATTATGCTAACGAAGAAGTTTGATATAGAACTGAAAACTGACAGTAACTACTATCGAAATGAGTGCACAAGAATTTCTTAGATAAATATTTCAAAATTGCAATACTCATTACCACTGCAACGTAAATATATGTTATGTGCGAAAAAATGATAGCATAGTATGATTACTTAGTGAAACTTGTATATACAATTAAGCTAGTAGTATAAATTAGGATAGAATTCAGCTGAATCATGAATACTAGAACACCAACAATATAGCAGAAGCACTATTTTTATTGTGCCAATATAATACCTGAACAAGTTATAACGTCAGACTTATTTCAGTTCTAATGTTCAATACACATCGTCAGCTATCTCTTGCAACCAAGTGAGAACAAACTTATCATTAATCAGATATTCTTATAATAAAAGCGTATAAAAAATATCGAATATTGACGGCTTCAGTATACAGTTGTTCTCAAAATTCAATTAACTAGCAATCCAATCTTCGTATTATGTGTTCGATGGTTTTATACAAGCTGTATATATACACATGTAAATATATCAATCTTTCACTTACCGTATGAATAGTTTGCAATCGGCTCATTTTTATACAATACTAAACTCACCTGTAAAGTCCCAATAGTTTCAAAGAGGTACAATGCTTACTAATGTATTATAAGACACTATAATATTAACATATTAACATAAAGAAATTGTCATATTTTTAAATAAGTACTCGTAAACCTAATTCTACGCCAGGCTCTGAAAACTAATGTAATAGTAAGACACGTACTTAAGAGTTTTAAATATATAAAATTTGGAATAAAGCTGGTGTTTGCAAGTACTTCCATGAGATTTTTAAATGATACAATAATTTAACATTAGGCAATTTTATTCGAAGTTCAGTAGTTAATGAATACCTTTGTGAGAAGAAGGCCTTAAAAGCATGTTGGAAATTCGCTTCTGGTTTCAATAACAGTCAGAGAGGTTTTGTCGCACTTGCATATGGTCAGAGAGATACCTGTAAAATATTTCAAATCTTTGAAAACTGCTTATCGTCTTCTTTGACTTATAAGCTTGCTAAATGCCGATGGCCTCACTTGCGCCAATTCTACATAAGATACGCTGCTAAACAAGTAATTTATCGTACTTTGCAAAATAATTGCATCAATACTGCCGAACGCCAAGGTTAGCTTTTAGTAATCTAACTAATGATTGCAATAGTAGAATTATTAAACCGATTTCATAATTACGAAAATGTTACGCCAATTACTCTAATGTATTCGTGAATTTATTATACAACTTAATAGGGAGAGATTATATGGTTCCTGAAGAGTGCTATCATCATCCCCTATTTATAATTTGCGATCAATAACCGAAGCCTTAGTTACTGCCGTTTCGCGAGAGCATAAGTTATTGCAGTATGACAATTACCATAAAAATAAATTCATTACCTTACTACGGTTTGTATTAAGTGTAGTACTGACATCATGCTAGATCTATCTTGACCTATAAGTGCAGTAAAATCGCCATTTTATGCATATCATTACAATTATGAAATGCGTCGAGTACATATAGCAGTAAGTCATGCAGGATTGTTGCATATAAATATTGGCATACGCATACACTGCTGCACTATCCACCCATGCATATATCAAGCTTTCGTTTATTTTACCTTGGTTATCGCCATAATTGTGGTAGATTAAAAGGCAGTTTTAATTCGGGATAATAAATAAGTATTAAATACAAATATTATAATTGTAAATTGAAAGTCCAATCATTCTCTATATTTACAGTTAATAAATTTATTAATTATCTAAAATTTACCGGAATAAATCTTTGTCGTCAATCTGACTGAAATAAATTGGTGGATAAATTCACGTTAATCTGAAAAAAATGTTAGAATGACCACGAAGTTGCGATGTACGTCTAATCTATCATACTGATTCAATTGTAATATTGTATAGTAAAAGATACACTTGATATCTTAGAGAAGACAAAGAACTTATTTATTGAGACAGAGAAGCGACCATGAGGAAGATCTAAGCAGAAGTGAAATCGTTCTGATAACGTTCACAGACAGACAACGAGATAATTATATAAATAAATGAATGAGTGAATGATTATTAGTTATACTTGTAGAAATACGCCAACACTTACAATCTATGAACTCTACAGTATGAGATATATTGTAGTTATAATTCAACCCATAATGTTACATCCTCTCTACTTTGCAAGGATCTATGAATATTATAATTCCGTATTTGTGTGTATCTGATGATGGCTAACAGTAAAGCGGAATAAATTACGTTGCATAATTATAATTAATTATTAAGCGTTTTGTTAAGATACATAAATGTACACTACATTATGTTCTCTCGGGCGACGCTAGGTCAATCACGCAGTAGTGAACATGTCAATACTACAATTACGATATTTGTATTATACGATTATCTTATCAGTTGGGCAGCTATGCAGTTTATCAGCCCTAATTCCTAGACGTTACAAGTCTATCATACGTATATAACACGCTGCTGTACACGGTATATTACTACATAGTTACTGTCTTGACTATTTTACCAGTAACTTATGAAACAAAAATATAGTATTGCTAATCCATATTGCCTCACAAATCAACACACACCCCGGACTAAAGCTTTAAACCTTTTCAACTTTACCCTCCCTAAAATAAATGGACTCAAAACATCTTTTGCACCCCCCCCCCCGTCCCCGAAAAAAATTCTTGTACTACACACTATGAAGTAGAAATAGTTACCGTATCACTATGTGAATGTAATTATGTAACATAGACGAGTAAATGGTGAACTGCGACAGTAGTTTGATGTGAGACTTATCGGCATCATAATTAATTGCCGCTTCTTAGAACTGCAATTTTGCATTATTTAGCTGCCTCTGATGTGTAATATTTCTGGCCGTACATTGTATAACAACTGTACAGTACAATATACATGCCATATTCGCAATAGTATGTATTTATATCGTCAATGTTATCGAGTTCGAAAAGTGACAATACAGATATATTTTTCGATACACAACTATAACATAGACTACTTAATACAGTATTCCGAGGTGTTCATTAGTCCATGACTATACACTATACATGAAGAACGGCGGTAATGCTACGAGACACGTAGGTCCAGGTCTTTCTTTCATTAGTCCACGGTACAAGCTACAGTTGTTTATATTTCATAAGTTTACGAGTATCATGCTTTTTGTCTTTCATAAAATGCAAGATTATACATGAGGCAATTTAAGCCTTTTCAACGCTGTCTTGATAATGAAATCAACAGAATATAATTTTAAAATTTTCCCTAAACAAAATAATACTCCAACTGACAGCTTAGGTGTTATAATTTATGTGAGATTATGCAATTAATGCTATGGAAACTTTTGTTTATTATTAAAATTCTTAAATTATTTTATATCAAGGCCGGATGATATTCTTCAGCGATGGCGATATATTAGTAAATGGGAATTAACTGCCATATGTGCATCTACCAAGTTCCTATCTGCTATGAGTGATATGCATACGCTTTAGCAAATTGAAGTAGGCACTAGTATGAAAATAAATGAATCTATCACTTCTTTTAGTACAATCCTTCCGATGATACAAAGATAATTGACTTGATATACTCAACAATAACTCGGTCAATCCATGTCACTGTTTCTGGAATGACGACACCGCCTTCAAAAAAACCAAGATGCCCACCGTTTTGAGTTACAACAAACAGAGCTTTATCTTTAGTCGCTATGGAAATCAATTTCAACATATTAAAATTCTTTCGATATTACATATTGCGTATATATTTCTCAAATCAAGAATCATAAAACATGACGAAACGTAGATATACTTCTTAATAATGATCCATCTGTAAATGTATTTGCTGCAGCTTTTTGAGCTGAAAAGATTCGTTTACGTCCATATCGAATTCCTACTATGACTTACATGATAACGAAATGGCCGGCCCAAACAGTTCCGATGGAATCAGTGGATCATCAGAAGAGTTTACAAGTAATACGGGCAGTTCCAGCTGAGATAATGTCAGTTAATGAAGGAGAAATGTTAAGGGTAATCAATTTTACAACATTCTTATAAAGCACTGCTATAAAGCACTTATCACTTTAGCGTTAGCTATCGGTAGTAACTGGTGCGTTATACCGTAGTTCATGGTTATACACATACAACAGTTTACCTTATGTAAGTAGAACTTCGAGCTCGCCCAATCGTAATAGTCTGATAGCGCAGCAAAGCCATTTACTAGCCTAAGTTCAAATAAATTCACCCAAATAAACATTTGTCAACATTCCTGGATTCTGTAACGGGTTTGACCTAAATTGTTTATACTACGTTAAACCTAGAAAAGTTCTCATCAAGCTCTTCTAAAATTCTTGATGAATAAACCCTTTTCTCTTCAACAGCAGGTATATCAGTTTTCTTTATTTCGCTATCACTACGACCATTTTTTATATAAGGTGCCTCACAATAATAATCCCATTTAATCGAGTTTGACGTAGCTGAAGGATAAATTTCTTTCCAATGATTGTTAATAATTTGTTTTTGGCGCCTGGTTATCATGTAATTATATATCACTCGACCACTGTTCAAGCTATTAAGAAAGGGACGAGATCTAAACAGAATTTGAAAATTGTTAACTACAGGAGTATTACGAAAGATACTGTATGCGAACCTTCAATACAATCCAGTAAGATACGCAAATTCGCTAGTATCACTTTATACACTTAAACGAGCATAAAAAGTACTTTTCAATATCATATCCTTGGCATATTGATATGGCACATAAAAAGTATGACTGGCGGGAAGGCTTTTCTCCAAGGTACTTCATTAGCAAGTTCGCGCCCATCGAAAAACCCACTCCCACCATCAAACTGTTATTGTGAAATTTTCGTACAGCATACTGTACCGCACCATCAAGATCACACGTATGGCCTATGCAAAATATATGAGGCATATATGTTTACGTCAGAACACAGTGTGATTGTAGTTAATAACTAATATAATTAACACAACAGAACAGATAATAAGTAACAAGAACATGCTGTAGTAATTCTGGTTAGCATCAATGTACTTATTATTACTCAAAAAAAATGCCTATGTTGATCTGTTGTGATATTATAATACAATTTACACAAATTATGGTATGTATGCATTACAGGATTTACGGTTCAGCACTTAAAGAAATTAAATTACAAATATTCATACTCTACCGTAAGTAAATATTCTCGGAGACGTCAATGGTACTGAAGCATCTGTTCCGACGTGATTCAGGACAATGACACGATAACGATGTTGTAGACAATAAGTTACAAAGGTCTGTATGTATACAGATTGCGAGTTATTGCCGATACCCGGGCATACAATCAGCGTAACTTCAGGTTTTTCCGTTGACGTTCTCTGTCGCTCCTGTGGTTCATATATATCAAAAGTACTTAAAGAGCCATCTTCGGTTACGACGCTTTCTCGTTTCAAACGTTGCGGTGGTGATTTATTTCCGAACCGACCGATCAGTCCAAAAATTATAGTTTGAACATGACCACATTTTCCCCAAAGAAGTGTGGGAAGGTATCTGCAGTTAAAGCAATAAGGTCAGCGTCAAGTAGTTATAAATAAGGCAGTACACATTTTTCTTTTATTTACTTAATTGCTAATGCATTTGCTCCTTGTTCTCACATAATGAAGTAAGTACATCTTGTAGAATATGTAAACTGTGAAGTGCAGACTCTGCATACGACGCACAGTGGTAAAACAGTAAACTCAGAAAAAAATAGTGCCTGCATGCTGACCATGAGATGAGCATTGTGTTCTTACAGTAGATCAGGCAAAGCCTACATAGGTATTTTGAAATAATTTGAATCGCCTTTCTGAGAATATCAGGATACTGACGCTGAAATATACACTAACGTATAGTAAATGTCTTATAAAAATCACAATCATCCTTCACAGATAGCAAACCAAATCAATTTCATGAGCTAGGCTTACCTGGGTTGTCAATGAAATCATTACTTAATTTGCATGGTCAATGCTGTACGGTATTCATTTCATTTTATTAGATTATCATGCATCGGCCACGATTGACAATAATTATAATTAATAATCCCTAATAATTATTAAGTTAAACTTCGCATATGTGGTGGTAATCTATAATCATAACAATTATTACCGTAAAAGTAAAATAAATTACTATGGATAATCGGTTGATTTACATACACTGTACACTGTGTACAGTAATGCAATCCGTGCTTACAAATGAAACGGCCACATGCAACATGATTGAATTGTACGGTACAGTTCAGTACTGTAGTCATAAGCTAAATAATTTTGTCTCGCTCGATTAATTGCAGCACAAGACGTGCATTTGGGGACCGAGCTGTCAATCAACAATAAGATCTAGCACCGTTTTACTTGCCTTTCACGAAGAATAGAACAATGAGCTAAAACAGCCTTGTTAAAAGATGAATTTCGGTGACATAAGATTGGGCAAGATGGCCAAACGAACAGATTTAAGAAACGAAACAAGGAAGAAATAGCAATAATGCTTAATGCGAAAAGAATGCTATAACTTTGAGATTCTAGCATACCAACTAGGACCACTTACTAATAAATGAAGATACAGTACAATACGCGTATATTCAAATGTCAAAAATCGTTAGAAAATTATTCAAAATTGTAACTTGCTACAGTCATCTGCAGTCATGAACTGCTAGAAGACTTCCACAGGCCCTAGGTTTTAGCTTTTCTTCTACTACCTGTTAGATTATATGGGTACGATACAGTACCGTAATCATAGTACAGTACTGGTACTTTCCATGACCAGAAATTTAAGCCTATGCTACTGTACTGCACTGTACTGTACATTGCTAGAAAAATGGTACAGTGTACAGTACTGTACCGTACTGTATGAACATCTCTGGTACTATGGTACAGTATTGTACAGTACATGTCTTCGTTAGATTTTACTGTACTGTACGATACAGTACAATATACTGTACTAAATAACACTCGCTAACATCCAATTTTGTATAGCAGTGATTATACTGTACAGTACAGTACAGTAATTTAAATACAGTACTGTACATGTACAGTATACAGTACAGTACAGTATACAGAACTCCTCAAATAACAGATTGCCTGTACTGTAGAATGTACTGTGCATTGCGTCCACTTTTACTCTAATGATAACGTAGGGGCTTGGGCGGTAGGGATCGGGATCGAAGCTTTGCAAATTCATTTCCTATCGCAGACAGGATTTTTAGGGCCCGGCCCGGTTAGACCAAGTGTGACGATTGTGTAATCACTGGAAGGAGACTGTTTACCATTTTACTGATAATTTTTATTGTAGTACAGTACTGTACACTATAATACAGTACATACATAATTGCTGTTCAGTAATTGCAGTACAGTATACTGTATATATATAAGTTTATAACTTATATACGCGTACGACTACCACGGTATAATAATTAATTATTTATAGCTTTCCATGGCAATGCTGTGCTGAAAATTCATGAAATATCCACTATTTAACAGTATAGTTTCAAGATGAATGTCGATTCCAGATTTTTTGCTGAAAGAAAATGGGCCTATAAAGGAGAAGGCAACGCTCATGTAGTATTAGCTTCTCATGTACGTATAGTAGTATATTAGGAAGCTACTATGCGTGCAATTAATTAGGACAGTAAGCCATTCTTAAGAAATCGAAATCAAAACATTCCTATAGCCCATTCATATGAATGAATAATGAAGATAAATTTGGTACTTTGGTACACTTGAGATAACAGTCTTCATTATTAGATATTTTTAAAAAATATTTTCATTACAGTACACCAAGCTTTAAATGTCATGCATACATTACAGTAATGAGATATTTAGCAGTGTCAACGAGTATGCTGTAGAATCCGAATTTAAGACTAAAATCCTTATTCCAGAAAACTGCTGCACACTAGTAAACGGAAAAGAAACCTTACTACTGTACGCGATCCTTAAAGATAATTATGTGTTGATAAGGTTAACAGTGACTCCTTTTTGTCTCCTGAAGGATGGTTTTGTTGTACGACTACTCAAAAATCGTAGAGATGGTCAGGTAAAGCTTCAGTTTCTGCCGATAAAGATATTCTTAATTAATAATACAGTACATAGTACCTAACCGGTTGTCGCTGCTGACCTCCTGTTAAGTACAGCATTTGATTACAAAGTGTGAATATGCGACGATTTATTCGAATCACTGAATTACAGTAGTTTTACGAAAATACTGTAATCACATGTACAGTATGTATGGACGGAATGGTTGTACAGTATTCGTACTGTCGACCATACCTTTTGAAAAATACCTGACTACTTTCTGTAACATGCGCACAAATATTGCTCAACTCTTCTCTTAGATTAGCAGACGTTCCCAAGATGCAGTGAAATATTATAACATCGTTGGACCACAGTTCATCGATCCTTCATACTTGCCAGAAATGGTATTTTCACACCGGATCTCTTTACGCATCATTATTGATATACAAATTTACTCTCGAGTGTTTACTCTATTACCCGATTTAGAGATTAGTTACTGTTCCTAAAGATTTCTTTGGAGTTGTTGAAGACGTTTGTCGAAAGCAGCGGCCAGGTAAGTTAAATAATAAATGACGACGCTATCGAATTATTAACTCGTGACTTTAGGGACGAGCATAATGTAACATTTATAAGAGAAGATTGCAATATTTTCTAGACGTTATTTAGTAATATATGATTAACGCTGATAGTGGTCATAATATCTATTTTTTGGCCAGATTATCGACTGGATACAAACATCGCTATGAATGCAACAGCAACGGTAATGCCCGATGTATGCTTCGTTAGAGAACGTAGTAGAATATCCGAGGTAAAGAAACTAGGAAATGTTGCTCAAATGAAAGATAAAACAATCCCAACATTTTGCGTTGAAATAAAAGTAAGTTTAATTTTACGGGTAAGTCTTACAATAAGAGAAATTTGTTCCTACTAGAAATCATTAAAGTCTTCTATGATTACCGTTTAAATTTAAGAATGGAATATTATTTTAATAAATTTTTCTTTACTTTAAAACAATTATTACGATCAGCCCAAGTGTGGATATTTACCTAATCCAGCTTCTAGCTCCGAAATCAACGATATCAGAAGACGTATTTGCTATTTCTGCTTATTGCAGTATACTAAAGTAATTCGTGCTATACACCTGATTTTATCATGTTTTATTTTGTGATATCTTAAATCGCCAAATATCGTATCTTGCAAACTTAGATCTATTTTAAATTTAAATTACTTCAATATGCATCAGGAAAAAATAGACAGATGGAAAAACAGAAGCCAGTATTGCCCTTTGGATCTCTTTTCATTGTGTGAAGCACATGTTTTATAATATACCAGTATACGTATATATATACTGCGTACTAGATTTAGGTAAAGGTATTGATGATCTCTTCCTATTGTACAGGGATCTAGATAGGATAAAAAAGGCCCTTAGTGCTTTGATGTACAGTCCGCAGAATAATTTCCGAATTTTTAAGGTACAGAGATATTACAGTATGCATCAAATTTTGTACAGGAAGCTGAGCAAATTTTAGACTGATGGAAGTCATTATTTTTTAAAGGATGGTATTCTAATTTATGAAGATAACTCTGCTTATGAAAGTTTGGATACCATTTTGCACGAATGGTTCTCAAATTCTAAGAATTCTTGTAAAAATCTAGGGTAATAATGTTCTATACTGTATACGGTAGGATAATGGATTTGCGAATTGTTACTGACTATAATATTGATTGAAGATAGCAGGCACTGAGTTCTGATAACTGTCATCATTCGGCAGCTACAGTATTGTAATATATCCTCTTTTTATGGATAATTTAGAGCAACTACCGAAAATTTTAGAGAAATTATAGCAAGAATTTTAGTTAGTGATCAGGCTTGCGGCACCATCGATATTAATGGAAAACAATCAGTGTGAGCTACCTATTTTGTTTCTTTAATTTGCATTAGTGACTGTTGAAAACTAGCTTGAAATACTAATGCTGACCATACCAATTGTAGAAACTCCAACTGCATTCTGAATCAAATACTATGTGCTCAGCGATTGGGTGAAACAGATATCGAAGATATTTATCCCCTGTTCTTAAAACTGGAACATGAAATGACGAAAAGCAAAACGGTCGCAGAAGCTATGCAGCAACTAGAGTGTTTTGACTCCGCATCATGGAAATACCTTAATGGTGAGAACTGGCTTTTAGCCTGTACTACGCAATCATTTATTTAGTATTCTTTATTAGATAGGCTAATACAACAATAACAGAGAAAGTATCTTTTACTTTGTAAAATGCCAGTAGTAGCTCTTGCCGAAATCGAAAATGATGTTGAGGAGACCATTAGAAAAGTAGGTTGCTTTTAATCTTGTTTCCAGTTTCTGTACCCATCCAGAGCGAATACTTTATGAATATCTTTTACATAATTAATATAGATTCAACAATTTCTAGTAACTGCCAGCTTTAAGGATTGCTCCCTTATGATCTCAGTACGCCCTAACAAAGCTTCGATATCTAATGCTATCCAGTAAGATACTATCGAAATCAATGTCTGTACGTAGATCAACATAGTGACTGCATACCGTACTCATTTTTTCTTCAAATTATAGAGGCAGAAAATCATCTTTGCATTACGATTATTCAGTTATGCTAATAGATTTAGATATCAAGGATATATCCCGTATAAGAAAATATATGAAATTAATTAAGGAAGTAAGCAAAAGCTATATGGAAAGGGCTGAAATTCCTTACAAAGTGTGCAAATAACATTAGTTGTAATTCCTCGCTCAGAATGTTTCTATACTTGGACAAGACATGTTTTAATAACGACAAAGTGTACTGCTTTCATTCTGATCATGATTATAATTATACTTCTCTCTATGTACTGAAACCCTAACACGTATCCATCACAGTGACTTAGTTTTAGTACAAAGTTCCGTACGATTTTGTTAATTATAGAATATTTCGGAATAAAAAATTTAATCATCTAAGTATTCTAATTAAGCTTACGATTTTTGGATATGAAATCACGCCAAGATAACGAAAATTTGAAAAAATTATAGCACTTTCAAATTTAGTGATGGCTGTGTTGTGTGTGAATTAATAACAGTAATTGCAATAATATCGTGCTGCAGACTGTGACAGCAACGTAATCTGTAAATGTCTTTTTATCAATCTTATGAGAAACCTGTTATGTGTTACATGAAAACGATATATATTAATTTATAATTTACAGTTAATAAATAAAAGCTAGCATTGCATCAATACACCATAAGTACTGTACATTGTACTTAGTGCATTCAAAAAATGATGTATTTTATTGTATCTGGGATTACTAAATAAAAAGATCGGTATCCCTTTCTCTCTCTTTTCTTTCCTAGCCCCTGATTGTACTATACTGTACAGCAGTGCTCCGTACAATCCTATTGTTGATTGTTTAATGCTTTCTATCTCAATTAATAAGTGGCAGCTATCCGTCCGTTTCAGATATACTGTACAGTATTGTGTGTTCCAGCCTGGAACTTCCAAGTCTTAAAAGGATCATTTCCTCCTAAATCATCGAGCTAAAAAAGAGGAGTTACAACTAATTGTACAGTGTAAAGTACCGTACAGTACAGCAAACGGAGAGATTGACCAGTAGTCATAATGTACTGTACAGTACTATTGTAGAAGCGCGGTACAGGAAGATCAAAGTACTGTACTGTACTGTACAGGACTTTTACTTTGTACTGTACAGCGCCCTTCTGAAACTAGTACTGTACTGTACACTACATTTTTTGATTATTCCGTAAAAAAGTTTCATTTGCTAAACCATGGAAATCACTTTGTAGTTCGCTAAATCATTAACAATCCTGTAGTGTAATCATTGGAAACGAGAGCAGAACGCTCAAATAGCGTCGTAACTTCTTTGAAATTTACAATGTTGACATAAAATACACACGGTCTGATTATAATAATCATTATACTGTAATTAAAAAATCATGAAACTTTTTGCTATCTTCGTTTGCTTGTTAGTTTTTATTGATGAATTAGTTGAGTGCAATCGATCAAAAAGCTTGTACGACATTCTGGGTATTAGACGCGATGCCAGCGACAAAGAAGTGAAACGAGCCTTTCGTAAATTAGCTATTAAGTACCATCCAGATAAAAATAAAGACAAAGATTCGGAAAAGAAATTTATTGAAATTTCGAAAGGTAAATGTTTAAAATCCTCAAAGTTTATACGGTTTCTTATGACCTTAAAAATAAGTAACCGTTTCCAATGCACTACCAATCTATGGCGTTAAGATATACCGCAACGTACAGTATGTTATCCAAACTTCCTGTCTATTTAGTACATAAAATCTTTTTCACAAGTAAATGATCTACGTAAACTCGTACAGTACTGTACTGTATACTAAAAACGTACCTATACTATATATTATATAATTGTGTATTTATTCCTTCATATATGTAGCGTATCAAATTCTATCCGATAAAGGTAGGCGTCGGTATTACGATAGATATGGTACCGCTGATGCACCCGTCCCAGGAGAAGGGTCTTATCCAAGCCAGGATGAGCCATCATTTCAGAATTCAGCTGAATTCCCTGACGTTGATGGCTTTTCCGGATCCAAATATACTTTCTTTGGAGATCAAGATAAATATTTTGATGATGATCAATTGCATACCAAAGATAATTACAATTACAATCGCCGAGGATGGAAACGAAAACAGTTTTTCTCGTTCGACGATCTCTTGAACGACGATCTCTTTGAGGATAAATTATTTCATGGCGATGAAAGTATTGGTGAGATCTAATGACTATAGTATATGTGAAAAATATAAAAAATTTATACAGTAATGTAGCTAGTCATCGTCTTATTGAATTAAATATGATTTTTAATGGCTTAAATTGTATTGTAGTTTTGCAACTAACAGTATCCCGATAAATGTACATTGTAAATTGCATTTCGAAGCATTTCAATTCGTGTCTCCACACTTTCATCTAATTTTATCACTGTATAGTAAATTTCGGTCTACGTGCCATTTTCCTGTTGTCACTGTAGGCGACTCGTTCTTCACTAACTTTAAGTCACGTTTCTCCGGTGGTCGCCATTTCTTTAATATACATGGTCCATTTCAAGGTTGATCTGCGTTTTGCACCTCACGATCGCTAGCCTTTGCGGCTAAGTGTAATATAAATATGCTTCTATAGTATAGGAAGCCTGTTATCACTCTTATATAGTAGACATATCCATAAGTGTAAGTAAGTAATAAATCGTTAAAATCTCCCTATAGATGACTTCTTTGGTAATTCTGAAGCTGATGCTAAGAAAATACATCCTGATCGACGACAAGACCGCTTTACGGAAGAATTCTCAAGTATGTTAATACAGTATATGTAATATATAAATGCGAATTGCTAAGAAATGCATTAAATCCTCATTACGTCTCAGATATATTTGTAATAGCATTGTTTCCAATTTTCTATAGATATCTATATTTTCCAAGCTCATGTGTACTACTTATGTGTATATTATAGCTCTATGTACAGTATCATTATTCCTATTAATATGATATAATGTACAGTATGATGCGATATGTTGTAATGTTATGAAGCCAACTACTGTTCTTACAATTAACAATTAATATTACAGATGACGAATCAACTTGTAAAACTGTTACCAAGCGCATTGGAAATATTGTCACAACCGAAACATCATGTTCGTGATATTTACAGCAATGTTATAAACATATTTGTGTAATAAAGAAGTTAACTGTCGTCACAATAGATCTATACTCGTATTGTGTATTACGAAATCATTAATTAAGTAGTGCAATGCTACTTCCAGCTTTTGGAAAGGTTTGATTCATTTCTGTTATCGAACAGATTCTAGAGATGTAAAAATCTGAATCTGTGTCTTGATGTTAATAGTATAATCATAAATTTAATTTATTTCTTGGTTCATTTGTATCCACGACACAAAATATAAATGTATAAGGCTAATAAATGTTAGTAATTATGATAAAAATTTGAATCTAATTCTTGGATTTGATCTAAAAGTTGTACCTTTGAATTTAATATCCTGCTGAATTGTTCATTGACTTTAAAAATATCATCGTATAGTTAATTGCTACCTGCGCGAACATTTTAGACCTTGCAGCCACCACAGCTCTGCTGCCTGGATTCGACAATATAGCTTATACGATATACTTCAATAATTATATGTAACACAATTGCAGGCTGATCATAAAACTATTTTTTTAGTATTCCAGCTATTGTACTACTACCTACAGCAAAATATTTCTTTCTGTACTAATCCGTCCTCATATTAAATCCTGCTGTAATAAGACCTTCCTTGAATGATCGATTGATCACTTTACATGTTGTAAGATATATTTCGATGCACGTAAAACTAATTAATTATATACTGTATATATCGTAACAAAGTATAATAATCTAAAAAGTGTTACTACTTTCTATGCGTTTAGTGTAACTAATTGTAGACTATCATGAGATCCCTATTCACAATTCTTCCAGTGAAACTTATTGGTTATATCTGTTGTACATATACAAGATTATGAACTTCAAGAACGGATGCACATCTTATCTTTAATTAATGGTGATACCTTGCCCTCCCACTAGGAGGAATAGTTCGAACCCGCAATCGATGAAGATTTTGCAATCTGTTGTCGCTACTGCAAGGCGATAATTTTATAATACTGTAATGTTTCATGCAGAGTCGTAACAGCTTAAGCATATTTACAATAACTCTAGTCATAGTCTCTAGTATATTCTGCCAGTCAATAACATGTAGCTCTTTTATGAATCCTTTAATGCTAATCATCATCAGTAGATATGATCGCTATTAATTAAATTTAAAAATCAGATGGTTGGGTACAGTAGCGCTTAAAACATCGTATTTACAATCAAATTAGTAGACGTTAACCATAAATGTTAGGAGGAACACTGTACGTTGTACGGTGTATACAGAAATCTACAATCAGTGATCAACTTCCAGTTGACCTAAAGAGTTTTAATGCTATAAAAGTTTTGTTAGTCTAACAGAAAAAATTTTATAGCATAATTAAGGAGCTCGCTCAACAATAGCTAGTAACAAAAAGTAAACTAGAAGGTATTACAATGATACACGATAAAATTGCTTTAGTTCTCTCTACTCCCTTGATATCGTCAAATGAGCATCATATACCGACACGGACAGACTAAGCAAGCGGATAGAATAGAATACAATTCAACTCGCGCTCCCAAAACTACCTTATACACAAGGTTATTGGTACAGTAACAAGCTAAGGCTAGACATACTACAAGATAGCAGTTGAAGTTATAAACAAATTTGAGACCGTCCGTCAAGTACACCATTACCGGTACGGCAATATTTAATGATAAAAATACTACCAAGGTCTTGCTTTTTCGAGCGTTTTTTTAAATCTTAGTAGCTTGCGCCCGAGTCGTTACAGTCACACAATAAGGGAACTATATCAACAATATTAGACGTTTTTGATCTCATTTACTTGACAGTCAAAGCAAGGACTTTTAGCAAGTATTCGATCTCTTTCATGCATAGTACTGAATAATAGATCGTAGAAACGCTGCATTTTTTATAAACATATAATTCTGTCGGATCAACGTAGGTTCTTCAAATGGCAATAATATAATCAGTAATTAATTTAATTTTAAAACGAATTATACAAGGTACAAGTAGTTTGCTTACAGTAAAAGAACGGTTAAACTAAGGTCAGAAATTATCCTAGTTAACACAATCGTATTACATTATACACTATACACTCTGTTGATTCTGCATTGCAAACGAATCTAGGTATAAATCAGAAATGTGTTAATTAATCATATAAGTGCAGGTTTAATTTGCATGCAATCCCTTTATCATAATACCATTTAATGAGAGCGCATAAAGGAATCTTTGCTTAGACATTTCGGTAACGCCGTGAATAGCAAAGACAGAGTCAATTTCATCTACAGATACGTTATAAATACTTGGACCTTTGAATAAATCAGTTCGAAATCGCTGATCATGCTTAGGCTTTACGCCTTTCTTCTCAGCAAGTAAGCTTATATACACATCCTCAGCAAACGGTAATATCGGTATATCCTTGAAAGCTGTTACGATTTCCATCAAAACATCAAAAGTCATTAAATATGCAAACCCAGTGCAGGACGGTGGATATACATTACCGTGAAATATGCTCCATAATTTAGCTTGATTCTTCCCAATTTTTCGCTTGACATGCGCTAATTTGATAGATAGATTCTTCCTCGTGAATACATTGCAAAGCCATAATTTATCTGGTCCTCCCTTCTTTTTATTAATTAATTGATTTACGAATTCGAATATTCTCGGAGAATTTAAGAAAATATCGTCATCACCTTTAATAGTAAAATATGGTTGACAAAAATTCCAAGCCCAAAGCATCCCAAGGATTGTTTTCAAGGTTTTATTATGAGGCGTATCATCTAATCTCGCAAAAATTATATCTTGGTATATTGCAGATTCCCTATAGACAGCATTATTAATTTCTGCGTTCTTACTTTGGCCAACAACGAATAAAGTACGCCACGCATACGGATGTTTATTAACGTGATTAAATTCACTTCCATTTCCCCAAGTTTGTCGAATACCATTACGTCGATAGAACCGATCTGCTCTAGAATTTATCATCACCAAAATTATCGCCTGTTTGACACAAGGGCTGGCAGTGTGATCTTTTAGCAAACCGAGATTTACGGAAATCTTTTGTGGTGATTTATGATTGACATCGACAGTAGGAACGATCATCTTATTTTCCATAACAAAACGATTCAAATAGTCCCCATAGTTTAAGTGATAACTAAATTTCTTTTCTGGAGGATTGTCGTTAGAAAGTTTTACGAAAAGCTCCTGTGTAGTTTCCTCGAGAGAAGCCAGGTTGTTCATACTCAAACCGTTCAAACCATCATTGAACGATAGTAGCTGAGTTAAGTCTGCATGCGTGATATTTCCCGCTGATAACTTATCATAGGTAAAACGATCGACCTGTAAAGTTTGAGATACGGTAAAACGGTAACTGGGTAGCTGTCTTTCCAGTAAGACAGCAGCATAATATAACAGTAAAAAGCAAGTGAAGTTGAATATAAGGGCAAGTTGCAAGAATCTCCTGCAACTAAACATAGCAACAGTAATGGGCGTAGTCGCAACGACTTCTAAGTGATTCACTTGCTTCATGGAGATTCCCAGAACTTTCACGATAAATTTGCACACATCTACGGTGTACAACCACCAAACTATACAAATGATCCAACCTATAAGTACGGTAAAAAGTCGTTAGCAACATAATCCTTTAATGTCGAATCGATAAGAAAGTTACATATACCAATATACCTATTATAAATTATATGTACGTATCTGTCGCTATGCATAATTCGATAAACATTAAACATTCTACTATAACACGGTACTGTAGCCCTAAAAATAGAGTAAAAAATAGCTATGTGCTGTATACTATACCATGGACTACACATAGCCGTTGAGAGAATTCGAAAATTAAAGCAATTGTAGCTGGTCAGTATCACTCCTTGACGTTACTGTATACATATGTAACTACCGTGCGACTCGTAGTACAGTACGTACAATTGTACAGTATCAGCATGGACTACTGAAATTACTAGTACAGTAGTCCACTACTATATGAGCTACACGGACAGATTGCTTCTTAAAATCAATCAGCACGCTCCTATGCGGCATTATCATAGGGTAATTAAAGTAAAAGAAATGCAAGCAAGTTAAATTCGAGAGTGTACAGTACAGAAACAAAGTTAACTGTACAGTATATTGATAAGCATATTTCATCTAAATACTGTACAGTCACCGCAAGATATCGTAGAGAAGTACTGTACAGTGCAGAACCTGGGTGCAGTTTAGCAGATTAATATTATTATTACTATTAATTTTTTTCACATTGTACAGAATAGTAATACTGCATTGTTACATATATGTATCACTGTACAATGTGTTTTAGATTGTTTCAGATATAGAAAAAGGGAAAAAATATAACTTAAACTAACATACAAATGCTGTACTATATACTAACATCTAGCAACTGTTCATGGAAGAATTGTCAAAGCACATAGCAATAATTTTGTATGTAATACTGTACTTTGCCATCACAATATTTGAAGAATTAATAAACACATCGTACTGTACGTACTGCACTCCGTAAAAATCCATTACCGTACCATCATCATCAGCGTTAACGGTTGACCATTGCATTCATGTAGATGTACTGTAGATTCACCTCCAATGGCAAGAAATTTAAAATACCGTGTCATAATCTTGCGTGTTAATGAATTAGCGATGGCCATCGACCCATGTAACAAATTTTAGAATTCGTTTTGCCATCCTAGATATACCGTACAGTGTACAGTGCACATTATACAGCACGGTACTGTACAGTACAGTACAGTACAGAAATTTTCAGTCTGCGAGTACTGTACTGTGTGTGTACTGTAGAGGACCGTTCTTCTTATTCTAGTAATCTACTGTACTGCACTGCGTATACGCATACTGTACAGTACAGTAGTCCATTAAATTTAATGAATTTAATTTTATTACTGTACAGTACAGTATGCTCGACATTTTTACAGTGTGGAAAATACAGTGAACAGTACAGTATACTGTACAGTACAGTACACTAGGATCCGACCGGACCAGGCCATGAACACCTTCACTAGTAACTATAGTACTGTACAAAACACCATTGATTGATGTACAGTATGTACTGTAAATTGTAGAACAGGCCGTCCGGTACGGTACTGCAATGTACAGTACAGTACAGTACCGTACTATCATCGTTAAGAGGTTAAATAATTCAACAGCAGCATTAAGTTAACACATGGATTTCTTCCATACTGAACCTATAGTTCTGTAAATACCTTAAAATTAATCTGAGAAATGGGTAGAAAACTGAATAAAAATTAGCCAAGAAATAGTTCGTACGTGTTATTAAAGTTTAATTTTCAAAGAAATCTATATATTTGATGCGGAGACGTTGAAAAAACCTATTTCTCTCGTACTTTCTTAACAAGATTTTCGTTTTCGCCAATGCCGTCCATGGTTTGTTTTCTTTTGCACTTTATCGTATTTCTGTACTGCAGTGTACAGTACAATCTCGTACTACTGTATATACAGTACTGTACTGCGCAGTAATTGACCAAAGATCTACAGGCTATAGACTCTACAATAATTCTGTACAGTACTGTACAGGTACATTACAGTACAGTATTGTGATCAGTTCAATACGCAACTGGTCTGGTACAGCCATACAGGCTCTCTACAAGATCAGTTATCACGCATTTCAGCGCGTGCGATACCGTGCAAAATCGCTATCGTATCTTAAATTACTGTGATTGATTGACGTAAAAGGTGGGTACCGCAGATAAGTAATAACCAATCAATTATTATATTTTATAGTTATCTAGAATGGCGCCGAAGGTGATTTGTCCTGCTGACACGACTATCAGTAATTAGTGATAAATGAACTATAAACTTGAAGAATAGAAAAAATTCATAATTTAGATATCAAAATTCTAAAATACTGTACAATGTACATACAGTATCACCACTACAGTACTAATAAGAGAGACTACAAAATGGTGGGTAAAAATTAATGCGCATACTACTACAGAAAGATGCACTGTGTACTGTACAGTACAGTATGAACAATAAACGGAACTATTATAAGGGTTAACGGAGGCTGTACGGAAGACACGGCGCGTGCCGCACCTCCGCTCCGAACGATCGTGGGAATAACGCACATACAGACTGATACAGTATTTGAGTTAATAAAATCATCTGTTTACTGTAGTTTTGCGTCATTGACGGCAATAAAACTTAATAGCTGCTTGCAGCAAACCACATACGTACAGTTTGCTGATCTAAGATTGGGTGATTTGTCATTGCACTGTTGGAACTTTGGAACGAATATACTGTATATACAGTATATAGTATACACCACATAACGCAACACCTGATTAGAAGGTAACTGTTTACGCAAAGTAATTGATAAATAATAATAACTGATGGATGTAGAGAAGTGCCGTACCTTATATTTTCTCTCCAGGGGATTCCTTTCCATTGTGCTGTATGTAATTGCACCAACGCCAAGCTGTCTTGCCATATCTTCAGTGATTCATTTCTTCTTTAATTGATTTTTACGGTTAATCCATTATACCTGTATATATCGACCAGTAATACGTATCGGTTTCTCTGCTCAGTTTCATACCGATGGGTTATATATATAAGTAAATGTAGTTAAAGTACCTAATGCAAAGTTATAGAAGAATTTCATGTTAGCCTTTAATCATACAGTATTGTGCTGTACAGTACTGTAAGCGTTACTAGACGGCTATAATTATAATTATTATTATTATAAACTCATAGTCGCCGTATGTACTGTTCGTAGTAGGAAAATAATCGTTTAAAATTGTGACCTAATCTGCAGTATGCGTTCACTGTACGAACAGGTACGAATACTATATACTGTGCTATACTGTTTTTCGCGCATTATCATAAACTGTAGGAACAGTAAGTGGTGTATTGCAGTTTAGCCCTATACGGCTAACAGTTTAATAAATCATTTTGCAATATATAATAAGTACAGTACAGAATACTGTACTATGCTGTATACCGAATTTATTATTTTAAAATTAGAATTATTAGCACCAGTTCAATTAACAGTTAATCACTCCACAGTTTAGAATTTCATATTATAGAATTAATTTGTTTTAATAGTATATAAATATATATGATTATAATATAATCGCCAACCTATTTTTCCGCCTGCTCTGGTCACTTCAGTTACGGAATTTGAAATTTCGTGGTAATGCATGGCAAGTCAGTTCTAGTCGTTATACCGTGTGGTGCAGTTACTCTAATGTACAGTACATGCAGTACAGTACACTGTAGAAACTTGTTTAGTCATTACAGCACTGTACAGTACTGTAGTTTCAACGTTTACGCTTTCTATTATCTACAGTAGAATATCAATTTTTTTATTCCTATCAACAGATGTTAGAAAAATTCTGGAGTTTTAGAAACTCCTGATTGCATCTAATTTAGGCGTACTAATACAGTGTCCCTGATACTTTATTAAAATTGCAATATAGTACTGTACTCTTTATTTTGCAGTCAATCCCCTATAAATTATACTCTTAATGTTCTGCAACACTGAACAAATCCTACATACAGTATTTATTATACTGTATGTGCGTAATCTAGTGTACAGTATAGTACTGTAAAATAGATTTAGGGTTTAAACGCGACGGAATCACTTTACTTATTTAGCTATGTGTGTTTTTGCAAAGTTATTCGCGTTATGTCGTTGACGTTGACTTGTGTAACAATATAGTACTAGCTCTGCGAGAATACTGATACTCACCTTTAAATTGTAGTAACTCAACTGTTATTGGATCTTACTATTCTCGTTCATATTATTCGGCTTTTATCCCGTATACTTTTTTAACTATTCAGTAGTAATAAAATGGGAAATGCTCACCAGTTAGCATGGATCCTGCTAGTGGTATACACTCACGTACTGTATGTAGTGTACTATACAATACGTCGCTCGAGTAAGTACGGTATATCTTGCTCTGCTGTCTTCTACTATCAAGATCGTATTGAAATTAGTTATTGTAAATTTATATAGATATGTAAATTCCCACTTAGTTTATAGTTATAATTAGCAATGAAGAATAAAATTTGGCATAGATGCCACATTATTTAGGTTATTAGCAACTGATCTTGCTAAGCAATTATTTACGTGAAAGTTAGGCCTGGAATACAAAATTTTCCTTTAGGGCAGTAAAGGAATATTGGGGATCGCATTAAAACTGTGTAGTCAGGAACTTAATCATGCATAGATGTATTGGCTTTATGGTAATATAAAAGCCGTTGTTGTTGTCTAACTGTGTTTAGTGCATGCTGTAGAATCAATATAGGCACTGTTGCGACAGACCCATTGGCATAAGCGGTTATTTTAGTATGAATGTTTGTAGTATTAATTACAGAGAAATGTATTAGCCTTTAATTAACTTCCATTATGTTTTACTCCGTCAGAACAATTGGTTCAATTTAGATTCGCAGTCGGCTTGTCGCCATTGGAATTGGAGTTTAACAATGGAAAGTAACTCAAACGATTCAGGATGGCCTAGCAGTACTGACAATAAAACTACTATAAATCCATCATTTTGGCATACAGGAACTTCTCCCGTAGAATCTATAGGCGAACCTTCTAAAACACAAACATCCACTGTATGTTCGTCAGCTGGTGCGAATGAAGATGAAATGTTCTCCTCCGGTCTAGACAATTCTGGAAACTCAACTTTTTACTCTCGATCTCAAAATGTACTTCTGCAAGAACAGACACCATATCTTAATTCTCCTGCGATGACTCTTGCAAGTGGTCGAAGTGTCGTAGCAAACAATCGTAGCTGTCGTAATACTTTTAACACAGGCATATTTTTTGATAGTAATCAGACTGCCAATTCTCAATCCTCTCTCTGGTCAACAATGAATTCAAATCATCCTCCAGCATCTCTTGCAACTCAGCCTCCTTTTTTAACTAGCTGGTTAGCCACACCAGCTAGCGGTTCTACTCCATCGACATCACCTCGGGTTCCCAACTTTTCAAGTGGAGAATTTAGTGGGACTGAAGTTAACCCGAACTGTAAGTAACCATTAGTCAATTAACTGCAATGTTCAAATTAGATGAGTCATACTACGATCCTATTTTTAAAATTACATGCTGTAGAGACTACTGTATCATAAGGCACCTTTCGAGTGCATCGACGAGCTATGCGGTTTATGTCTACTTCCTTCAATTATAATAAAGGATTTTGAAGGGTCTCAGAATAAGGATTTATTTACATAAAATTATTAGGTTGCCGTAGACTTGATATGTAATTTTATTCAGTATAAGCGTCCGTTATACCTCAACTTTAGCTCAATCAATTTAATTAAGTACGAGCTTATCCAAGTTAATTTCGTATATGACTCACAGTTGCTCCAGGAATTGGTGAAGATGGGTGTAATCCTAAGTTAGCGTTAACATCGAAAGCTACTGTAATAAATTCCGGTTACGGTCCTATCAATACTGTTAATTGTTCCTTTCGGCCGTACTATAGCGGCATTCCGGTAAAAGGTGAACTTTCTAATATGTGCTCTAGCCGCAGAAGTAAAAACCATGCAATTGCGCGATCATCAACACCAGGTAAGCGCTAGTATGAGAATGTAACCCTTCAAGTAGTCATGATAACATATATTTTATTTTATGAATATTCGTGTTGTGTTGTCGTTTCCATTTCCGATAATGGAAGACTAATAAGAAATGTAAAATTTTAGCTGATAAGGAGTGTAGTTCCTGCGGCTCAAAGGATGTCCCGTTGTGGAGAAAAGACGCTAGTGGTCATTATATTTGTAATTGGTGTGGTTTACATTGGAAAAATAACTGTAACAATATTCCTACCCGTCATTCAAGTAAACAAAAGCAACTTATTGTACGTCTCTTACAGTACTATTAAAGGAAAAAAGTATACAAGTTTACGTATACGTTTTGTTCCTACTTCGTTTGGTGTCTCATGCCACTATAAGAACTTAAAGGAAAATCGTAGTCTCATCAGTGATATTTTAAAAATTTTGTATATTCGCTCTAGATTTGCGCCAACTGTCATACAACAAGCACCACTCTTTGGCGCCGAAATAGTAAAGGGGAACAAGTATGCAATGCCTGTGGATTGTATTATAAGCTGCATCAGGTGTCATGAAATTAATGTGATCCAATTCATTTCTTTACTTTAGCATGGTAGTTATATTATGGAAAGCCTGCATTGAACGTTGAGTTCGCTTATTCTGTAATTTTTTAGGCTAGCCAGATGACAGCAATTTTATTTGCTGTGAATTACTGATTCTAACATTCATTACTCCTGTTTTACTTATTAGACTGAAAGGCCCCTTTCTATGAAAAAAGATACCATTCAGACTCGTAATAGAAAAAAGAATTCTAAAAAAAAGAAGCCACCAACGAAATCGTTAGGTATTTCTCCTAGCCAGGATTTCGTAGTAATGGATAAGACTCCACAGTCACTATACGGATCACTATCTGCTCGTTCTCAGTATTCACACCATTCAGTCTGTAATAGTACTATTCTGCCGCCTACTTACCTTAGTGGAAATTCGCAGCACCTGCTATCTTCATTTGCACAAAAGAATGCTCTCTCTTAAAGAGTTATCGAATTATTTAATGTACTTGCGTGTAGCCTAAAATACAGAACTATTACGCATCTGCGTATAGTTATTGACGTTCTAGCAAATATTCAGCTTTTGATTTGTTAACTACTTCGTTCGATTGTTATTGCTGTATAAAATCATGTTAAAGAATCTACTGTGTTAATGAATATCGTACTTGCGTTGTCTTCAATTTACGATAATGAGAACTTCAAATAATTTAAAGTCTGAAAATGTTATCAGTGATGACTCTACACTCTAGTCACATTTATGTTCTAAGTAATGAAGACGATATGGAAATTTAAATTGAGCTTCTATACCCGAGAAAGCTATAAATATTCATCGGTATTTTTGATTATACTATAATTACTTAAATAAATGAATAAAATGAACGTTTGCCAATACGTATATAAGTATGGAACTTAATAATTTTTAAAATTGTCTCACATCGTTGTCTTTCCGATGTGTAAATTATCATATTAGTTCTTCCATTATTATCGACATGGTACTACTCTAGCCAAGTATTTGATGTGGTCAATCAAGCGTATCAATGTTGCACGATGCAGCATTAACAGATCCAGATGCACAGTTTATTGTACTCAAAATGCAGAATTTACTTCGCTTCGGCCATGTTTATAGCGATCTGAATCAAAATCTCCAAGATACGTGTATGTTACAAAGTTAGTATTGAAATCCTTCACAATGTTAGGTCTTAAAAATCTCAACCGATATAACAGCATCATGTTACTATTAGCATGAATACTACCGTTTCATAAGTATAAGTAAAATGCTTGTCTTTCCTATGTAAAAACGTTACGAGAATAAAAAGAAGCAACTCTAGGTACACTATTACAGTATCTCGTATGCCGTAGATAAAGTGTCAGTTACGTAAAAAGTAAGCAGATGAGCATGCACTGAACATGCAAATGCGCTTACACAGCATAGAAATTTAATGAATTTCCCTAATTTTTAAAGTTATCATAAATGCTTTATTGTATTATCATTTATATCAGCTTCAAAATTGAAATGCCGGTAAAGTTCTATCTAGTAAATTCGTATGCACAGTACTACAACTTACAATAGCAGTTTGTTAACAGCTGCAACTTCTGTATGAGCGAACTGATTGCTGTCGGGCAACAATTACGGTTAAATTTGTTCGCTAGTGTAAAATTTGATGTATCTTATCCAAAATTTTATGCTCTTCGGCACTTAAACAACTAATAAAGAAGTTATAACAAGACTTTTGTCGAAATTCCTGAAAAAAATTTAGAAGCTGATCCTAGATAACGAAAATTGGGATTAGAACAGAATAACAGTAAAATAGTCAATGATAAATAAATAGCATTTTAAGTAAGGCTGGATCCATAAAAATACCTGAAGATCGATTGGAAACAAAGCATCTTCGAGATCATCAAAGCTTTCGTCATCATCAAAATCTTGTCGTTACATTAAAGGCAGACCAGAGCGTAAAAAGAGCATAAGATATTAAGGGGCTATACATGGTTTGAATAAAACCGAATTTTGTTCTATAATGCAAGAAAGTACGCGTGCTACTTAATATTATACATATTAACGTTTGATACCTTCAAAGTTAGAAGAATTAATATAAAGCTGGTCCTCATATAAATAATTCTGTGAATCACTGCTACTTTCTTCGTCATCGGTCCGGCTGGGAATATCAGAGATATCCTACAAATATATTGTACAATCCATTAAACGATGTAACCATACTAAATTAATTTGATCCACATCTAAATACCGCTAATATCTTCTCATGTGGGCTATTACCCTCCAATTCGGTAGAAAATTCATAAATGATGGCCTTGAACATTTTATGAATTATCGGAATTGTAACTTTTCGCTTTAAAACTGTAAGAAAAATATTTAATCCACTAGCCAAAATTTCGTCCAAATTTATCAAATAGCGCCTAGGGTGATACACCTAGAAAGTGCTAGTTGCGAAAGAAATTCTTGTACGGGAACGCATACCTAAATTAGTTTTCGACCTGGTCCGTCTTCCTACTTTTAATTCACATTTATACAAGCATAAACGTACATCCATTAGTTATATAGTACAACATTGACATAAACCGCAAAAACACATTACTCGTTTATCGCTACTTTTAAATATACTTCATACGAGGAAGATGCTTGCTTATACTGTAGTATAATAACGGTCAAAGAAGGATGATTATTAACTACAAAAATTCAATCACTACCTATGGTTTCTTCTAACGCTTCTTCCAAAAGCGACATTGATGAAATATAAGGATCATTCGTATTAGCATAATAAAGCAGAATCTTGCAAAAGGCTAAAATGCTGCAACATTCGTAACATAAAATTTAAAGAAGCGTCAAACCATGAAAAGTAAGGAAAAGGCCTTAGCTAAGCTAATATTGTTGTACCTGATCTTGATATTGTAGCATCCAGCGATAAAGTTTTGCTGCTTACACCATTCACTTAACACGTATTCCATGGCTGAGGTCCCTGTCGGACTGGGTACACTCACAAGTAAGTTATACACCAGTTGAAAGTGCTCATGGATTAAATAGGCAAACATTATTATTAAAGCCTAAATTGCAAAGCGAATCAGAATTTTAAAGCGTATCACTGAACGTAACGAGACCAGCAATGATAGAAATCGAAATTGCTTAACGCGATAGGAAACCTGCATAACATTGCCTTCTGTTACTTGCTGCATTTTCGCAAGAACCCCACGAAGGATTGTACCAAGATGTTGTTGCGCTAATACGTCACCCTTGTAAAATTGAGAATGTTTCTATAAAATTATGCCTTATAAAAATCCCAATTTTTTTACGTGATTTATCAGAGAGGAATTCTAATATCTCTTGATGTGTAGTGCACCTTCCTAAAAAAGACAATTGTCAGTTTTCCTACTTGCGCCGCACTGTATTGTTCCAATTGTGGATCCACCTGTTTCAAAATGCAGTTGATGACATAAGAAAGTCCATCATTACCCTCAGGGTCCTTCCTAGATTCAAAACGAGTTTATTAGAATTAGTCAAAATCCTAGAAAATCGAGTGTTGCACTAAAGCAACATTACCTACCACTCAAACACCTGGTCAGAGCTTCGAGAAATAAATGCTCTGAGACAGTCACTTCCGCTCTATAATGTCATAATACGGTGATATCGGTAAGAAACGAATTGCGGACAATAGCAGTCATACTTCATCCGAATATTAAGTAATATCAGATATATGAGCAAACTCACTTGAATAATAGAAACATCATCAGTATTCATCACAGTAACTGCTACTGTTGGAAATCCGATGTTAATAAGTGTTTCAGGTACAGGAATCGGGCAATTTTTTATCAAGTCTTCCATAATATCTAAAGCTGTCTAAAAATTTTAATATGTTATTTAAAAACAATTTGCTACTTAAACATAATAATATTTAAAATTATATTAGGCTGATTGCAGCTTACCCCAGTAGTACAGAAAGCACTTTTTCCGCTTGTAGAAATTAAATTCATTAAAACTGGAAATAAATGAAGTTCTAATGTCTGAAGTAAGAAAATTGTTCACACATTTCATAAATCGAACGAAACGTGAGTTAAGATGGCATACAATCTTAGCATTAATTAATTAATTAGCAATATAATTTCTTGCAGATCTGCTGTTGTCGACGCAATACCGTAGTATATTTCATACCTGGTAGCAGTTAGGAAATTTGCTGATAATTTTAAACGAATCTTGAGCTATAGCTTCAAGGTAGGGATCTAGAATGCGTAATTGTTAACTAAATTAATTGGTACATCTAAAGGAAAATCTTACTCTGGTAACGCAAGCATAACAAAAATATCTGACGTACTTTGGTTGTAGGTCGAATAAAACTCTACAAGCATGGGTATCAGCTTGCCATGCACTGACTCCGTAACAGACCTACTAATCTGTATGACATCAATTACATAAGTTTATGAAATAGAAACCTTGTATTAGTCCATGATTAAAGGTATACAAAACGAGAGAGCCTGTATCTATTACTAAAACAATCTTCTCATGTGCATCTACTAAGCATAAACGTATCTCTAAATAGAATCAATGTTAATAGAACTGTTCATACGGACTGCAAAAATTTTCCGTAAAAGTCACTGATATTAACGAACCTGAAGAATAAAATTTAACGAATCAATCGCTAAACCCAAGATATCTACATCTTTACTAAAATCGAGTGCCATGAATATTAAGCCATTAATGGCATCAGTCAGATAGGGGGACATTAGTTCGTGTCTTAAACCATCATTTAAACCTTGACTAAGTCTGATTAGATAATCATACACAATCAATCGTAATTAAATCAATTTAATTCATCTAATAAGTTTTAAAAGTATTGAATCTAATACCATCAAAATCATTTTACATTTAAAGGTAGGCAAATTATTAAAACCGTTATGAAGTCTATAAATGTAAAATATAGAGTGAAATCATTGAAAAGTCCTTACTGAGATAGTGCCTTGGCGCCATATATCCGAATAATGATATGCTGGGATTGATTTACGGCTTCAGTACAACCCTTCATCAAGCTGCAATAACAGAATACAGTACGTAGAATTAATGTTCTTATTTCTATGCTTTAGAATTTTAGCAACAAAGCCCGATTAACATAAATATTAGCAAATATCGAGCTACAATATATCCTGACTTGAAGGGCGATCATTTGAATTACTAACTTTGAAAATGCCGGGTCTTCCATCCGGGATGCCAACTTGCTACGAAGCCAAAGAGCACGCCCGGATAGAAATGGAGATACTAGGAAATATTAATAGAGCGCATTAAGACTATCTAATAAAAAATTCTGCAGTCTCCTAATAGCGGTAACAGAATTGATCTGCCACATTTGCAATCAAGAGTACCTGTCGATTGCACATCTATCGACATGATATAGTTTAGGAGGAAGTTATTTTCCAAGTAGTTTTGTACTGACTTCGTAGTCAAGAGATTACTTAAGTTTCCCAAGACCAATAAACAGCTTTCATGTACCTTCCACCTGCAATTGTAATTATAATTGATATCCATTTAACTTAAATATGCAAGAAAATTAGTACTTTGTACTATAACGAATAACGCAACTAAGGAATACGTATTTGAGTATCAAAAAAATTCATATATTTATTTGATACTAAAACACCGTTACGAACCAATGTGGCGAGTATTTAATCGTCTCAGCTTCATCGAAATGTTTTCTAACAGCTTTTGAAGTCGAATCCAAAATCTTGCTCTCGTTAAAGTGTATAATGGTCTATAAATAACACAGTATTATCCTTCTAACATTCAAGGAAGATCATGCATATGCAAAGCATCATCTGTTTAAAACAGTTATGATAACTTCTTCCATGTAACTTACATCTAACAAATTAACAGCCAATATTCTAACAGAAGACGTGATTGTATCATCAACTTCATCTTCAATAAATCTGCCAGGACACGTAACCCATAAATCAGCCTGTAAATACATATTGTAATTTATAGGAAAGGCCATATTTATATTTTATATAAACAAATATTTTCATTATCAACCAAATACAAATTTTCTTATAATTACCTGTTCTTCCGATATAAGCATATATTTAATTAATTGATAAATTAAATCATCCATCATAACATTAACGATCGATTTATATGTTTTACGTTGAAATAAGGCTGAAAAGAACTCAAAGAGGTGGCAAACTAAATTTTGAATATTATATCTTTCTCCTACAAAATTAACAAACCATACATTACATAACTAATATTTTTTTTATTATTAAAGAAAGAGATATAAAATTATACCATCCGAATCTATAGATTCTTCCACTAATCGTGTATTATTTACTATTGTCTGTACATAAATAGATTAAGTCAAGGAACAATTATGAAAATATTCAAAGCCAATATAATTCTAATTTTAATGTTTTATTACTTGCACAATTATATCAAAAACTCAATATTTACAAATTTCTTAGCAAATAGATCTACAGTATACAGTTATTATAAGGATATGTGTGGCTACTTCGCGTAAAGAGGTCCCAAACAACAGGAATAACCCAATCTAAAATTTGTGCCATCTCCATAGGGAAAGATTCAACTAAACAAATCAACGTCTAAAATGGTAAAACATTAGCTAATAAATTAAAGCTCGTCCAAGAACAACAGCTGTTAATCGGTTACAGAAATAACAAATTATAGTACCAAAATGCCTTAAAGTTAAGCATAAAATAGAAACCAATAGTCTTGACCTTTATGACATTAGTTTTTAGAACATAATCGGAATGAGGTCCATCAGGTTGTGATAAAGACTCAGTGAAGGCTGATAAAAAGTGTGGTATGTAAGGAAAGAGCAGTACATTTGGAGCTGCCTGCAATCGTTGCAATTATGCATTAGAAACTCGCAATAACTCTCAAAAGTAACTCAAAAAACTTACTTACTTTTTCAAGGTCGCTCATAGCAAAAATTAATGATATACAGGAATTCAATATGTGAGTCGTTTTACCGCGGATATTCGAATTAAAATTCTGGAAAAATAGTATATAAGTACATACATATTCTGTACTCGATATATATTTTCGGTATCTACTTTTCATATCGATGTTTTGATGATTTCGATAGTTAAAATGTAATACCTTTTCATCCTTAAATATTCTAATTAGCTCAGGGAACATGATCGGAATTAACTGAGGGAGCTGACTATCGGCCATATTATCTGATAATTCTAAAAAATGTATTTAAAAGTATCAACATTATCATTATGCCTTAATATTACATTTACGAGCATCATAACAGCGCGCAATTTGTAACATTATGAGCCTATATGCTGATATAATGTTAAAATTATTTGCCTGTAAGAACTCTCATAGCTCCATGAACAAGATCCTGACTGCTACTCGTCATAAACCCAATAAGAATTTCGAAAAGCTGAGGCCATGACTCAGGCCAATCCCATCTGGCTATTTCAGAGATAGCATAAGCCTAAAAAGGGCAGAGTAATCTTCCTGAATCTGACTTAAAATGAGATACTAAATTTAATAATTACCACACTAGATCGGATAAGGCTTGAATGATCTCCAAGGGTGCTAGGCAGCAGTTCCCGTACTATGCATTTTGCCTTTAGAATTAAAAGCTGGTACTTAATGTAAAGTTAAATCTTTCTCTACATATTACAATTGCATCCAAACATAAAGAATATATTCATGCGATCAACCTTGAAATACTCATGCACACTTATAATCATAGAAATGAAGAAAATATGTAAGAATGGAAAATATTGCACTGCTGCAAATGTGAATAAGCTACATAATGCACCTACCCATTCCGGTGTTTCCGGTGCAACAAATTTATCTGATGTTGTTGACCAGTGAGTTTGTACATACTGCTTCAGCACAACTGCAGCTAACTAAATTACAAGCAAAATAGATTACTAAATATCTAGTACCTTGTAACATTTCATTTCCTGATATTTACGATAGATAAACATTAATATCTTAGCAGTTATTTGCAGTGCCGTACTGTATGTATTTCATGTCCATATTTGTACAACACAGCGTCTGAGTATTTCGTAATCGAATAGGTACCTACTCTCAAATTCAGTCTAAATCTATAGTTTTAAACTACCTAAAGTATGTTCAAAATTAGCTAGTTTATTAAGTATTTACAATTAGTGAAACTATTCTACATGGGCAAATATACTACATGTTACATCCAAAATTTCATTTCGCTACATTTCACTGTTAGAACAGTGTATTTGTATGTTCTAACATTATTTCTTTACTGACAATTATAACACGTATAATCATTTTTCCAGGGTGTTAGATATGTATAATGAGTGTAACATCCATGGTCATACTTTTAGAATTATAGTACCTCCTATACAATACGATCTATTACTGCAATAATTATATAATCGACAAGTAGGGCTCGATGTGCGCTTTATGCTATATTTTTAATAATATTAATAACAAATTGGACATGCTCGTACAATGAAATTTGCAAACGCGATTACACTTATAGATTTAACATCCACGTATTCACCTACGAATGAAACCGTCTCAATTAAAATTACCTGCCGGATAGGAAGAAAGTTATTTTGATCGATAATTATATCCGTTAAATATACTCCGAACTCTAAAAGAAGAATATTAAAGTGAGCTCCTTTGCAAACTATATTACGTTTACGACTTCAGTAATTCACCGATATTGAGCACCTGTAACGAATTAAATAATTACTGTACAGTACTGTAGTCTGCACGATACTGTAGTGTTGTGTAATCAAGCCAGTAAACTTAGCATGCTCACTGTCATCTACGTATACCATATATATATATATATAGATAGATAACGAACTGCAAAGATAGAAGTTACAATGATATATAATCGAATAAATTCAATCATCATCGTTATTTTTTGGAATATTAGTTTTCCCCATTTTATCCTTGTCAAGCGAAATAATTACTACTTTATAGTACAATCTATATGTAACATTTAGAATCTGTTGCAAACCCGGCGTCATCTCAATAACGTTTAAGTGATCTTCCCCTTGTTGTCTCGCATGTTGTGCATCAGATAAAATGCATTTCAGACTTTCCAGAAGCGCTACTTTTAACTCTGTCCTTCTGACCTCCATTGGTTGCATTCTCAGTGTCACACACTCACACTGTCCGATGTTACTGGCGGTGGCAAAAAACCGAAACAAAGGTCATTTGAAAGCGTCAATGTTGTACTGTACTGTACAGTACAGTGAACTTTGGTTCAGTATTTTCAAAGTTTTGCAGTACTGTACTGTACAGTACACACGACCGTAAAGTACTGTAGTGTACAGTACAGTACTGTTACAGTATACTGAGTGTACAGTACTGTACTGTACACTACATTACAGTACAGTATGTCATTTACATGTGCCTCGTGCCCACTAATAGCTACGCTACAGTAATAAAGATACTGTACAGTACAGTACGGTAGGTACAGTAGTCACTTCACAGCTTAGAGGCTACAGTATGATTTACGGTAATTTGGTACAGTATTTACTGTTAGTAAATTATTTACAAATCGCACTTTCATAATTGTCTTCATTGTCTTATTATGATTACTAGTAATTATAAGGATAGTGAGTAGCTACCGGATAAAATCCATTACAACCTTATTTTACAGTACCTACTGTTTAGCAGTACCTAATAATAAATTTAGTCCAAATCGCAACTTCTTATTAGTTTTATACCTTATTCTAAATGCAAGGTATCATACTAGAATGGCTGACTATCTAATTTCTGGTGATATCGGCTACGTTCCGGATGATGGCCTAACAGCTGCACAGCTTTTTGGAACTGACGGTTTAACATACGAGTGAGAATTAATTACGCAGCTTTGCCATTATACTGTACAGTACTACTCGAGTACAGTGCAGCATTTTTTAGAGTTAATGTCTACAGCATATGCTACATACAGCACCTTTCTAGTTAATTATTTAATTTACAGCTCTTTCTTACTCATGTAATGCACTTACATTGCTTCCCTTACATTGCACAGTACTTCTGTATAATAAGTCAATCAATCAAAATCTACACTACCCGAAATCTATAAAGTGCACTGATCTACGGTACTGTACAATGATCTATTACCAGAAGACCTTTTTCTAGTACTTCATGCATGGTTCTGCTAAGAATTTCACTGTTTGGTTGACCAGATACCCGTACACAGCACTTGTATTACCTTTTACGCCAGTATACTGTACATACATTTTCAGTTTATGCTTTTGAAATGCTGGACTCTACTGTGGTATTGTAAGAAATTCCTGTTTATCCGACACTACAGTACAGTACTTCTCAAAATTCAAAATTTTATTATTCGAAAAAAATGAACTGTCTAGTAGATAATTTATTTTTCTTCTTCTTCTATCGACAGATCAATAGTGATATAATTAGTATGTTGAGGCTAACCAGAATTACTACAGCATTTTCTTGTGATTTATTGTCTGTTCCATAATGAATTATTAACATTAAATAATTTTCCACGGAATCACGCATATAATAATCTAGCTTTAACACAAAACAGACTGACGTATATAGCATTACGCCAAGCAATATGAATTAAACTCTCTAATAAGTGCCTTCCTTAGTAAACACCTGATTAGTTATTGTACTTGTCGGTATCTTATCGAAAATTTGTTATTTGTACTAATTGTAAATCTTATTAATTGCTATAGCGATTTCATTATTTTGCCTGGCTACATTGACTTTGAATCAGACAAAGTGGTAAGAACTATTACAAAGATCCTGAGACAACGCCTCAGTGATAAGCGTACTAAACATCCATGAGAGTTATTCGAAACTTTCCACCCTTTCATATGAATATCAGTGATTACAAAAACTTAAATTAGTATTTAAAAGAAAGATATTGTTAAAACTCTACATCTACTGAACATGATGCTATGTTTTCGTTAATTAGGATCTAAGGTCAGCCTTAACCAAAACGATTACTTTAGAATCCCCTCTGGTCAGCTCACCTATGGATACTGTAACAGGTTAATAGAATTCGAGGCACATGTTGTATATCATTCGTCAATATTTTGTAAATATAGTACGCTCGTGGCATTTTACCAATATACAGTACAAGGTTTCCCATACTGTTGTTACAAAATATGCCACAATAAGTGTGCAATACATGTATTTACGGTTAGTAAGTGATGTATGTTTTTTGTTAACTGTAGAATCTGATATGGCGATTGCTATGGCTGTAAGTCCTAAATGGTAGTAGATAAAATCAATCAGAATCTTATTTTAACACTTACAGATGTACGATACTTCCAAAATATATTTTATTTAAAACAGCTTAATGGTGGCATTGGCATTATACACAATAACTGTACGGCTGAATTTCAAGCTTCTGAAGTTCGAAAAGTCAAGGTTAGCAGAATTTTAAAGTAGCATGTAACGTGTATTTGATATATGACTTATTTAAAATTATTGTTGCCTAATTTATCGCCTAACAGAAATACGAACAAGGCTTTATTACAGATCCTCTCGTATTAAGTCCGAATAATACTGTTAAAGACGTTAAAGAAGCAAAAAGAAGGCATGGCTTTAGTGGGATTCCGATTACTGGTTCTATTCAAGATCTATTTGAATTATATCTTCAGCAATAGCATTTATAATAAATCAATTTCTAATAGACAGTGAAATGAGTTGCTTTAAATTTAAAATTAACACCGTTATCTGTATGTTTTAATATAGAAAATGGTAAAATGGGTGGAAAATTAGTTGGCATTATCACGTCACGTGATATTGATTTTCTACCTTCAGATGACGAGAATCGACTACTAGATGAGGTGAACATTATATCATTCCCTGCTAATGCGCAGAATTGTAATAGTTAACACGAACCTTTGTTCGAAATTGAAACGCTACTTATGTAATAAGCATAAGCAAGTTTCAATAGTGCTATTATATTGACTGAATATGAGTAATACTGCAGGTTATGACTCCAAGGGAAGATCTAACGGTTGCGTATGCAGGATGCACCTTAGACGAGGCACATGTCATAATGCAAAGAAGTAAGAAAGGTAAAAATTTCTAATTACGACTAACAAAACTGTAAATTTATTTAATTCTGGGGGGCAGTACGTACGTATTCTATCCGAAGTCACTCTGAAAGGTCTTACAACACAGACATATAATTAAGCTGTCAAGATGACTTTGAATTTATTGCCTTTGTGCTAGGGAAACTACCCATTGTTAACAAAGAAGATGATCTTGTCGCTTTAATAGCTCGCACAGATCTCAAGAAAAATCGTTCTTTTCCACTAGCATCCACTGACAGTAAAAAGCAGCTACTCGGTAAGATACTAATGCACCCACATGAAATCAAGGTATTTTACTGTAGTTTTCCATGGTAATCTTTCCGTTCGTCGACTGACAACCTACGAGTAAATTAATTACAATATAACACCGTAATTTAGTGGGAGCAGCTATTGGAACTAGAGAAGAAGATAAACAGAGATTGGATTCACTTGCGGAAGCAGGAACCGATGTAATTGTATTGGTACGTTCAAGATATTATGAAAGTATATGATTATTCTTAAAATGTTAATATCACGTTGATAACATGCAAAAAATGATCTAACTGTCCGTAGGATTCTTCCCAAGGCAATTCAGTGTATCAATTAGATATGATACAACACATCAAAAAAGTTTGTTATTGTAGTTCTTGCGAGTTAATATAGCAGTAGTTAACATAATTTATACGCTTATGATCAATAATTTTACTAATCACCTTATGCCTCCATTTTCTATTAGAAATTTCCTAATCTTCAAGTGGTTGGAGGAAATGGTAATGTGTGCAGCAATTAGCTATCAAATACGTAGTTATTTTTTGCAGGTTTGAAGTTATATTTATATGGCAAAAACCTTATAAATTGCTTGATTAGTTGTTACAGCAGCGCAAGCGAAAAACTTAATTGACGCCAGGGTAGATGCTCTTAGGGTTGGAATGGGAAGTGGTTCTATTTGTATCACTCAGGAAGGTACAAAGGATTGCCATATTGCTTAATATACGCGCCTAGAAGCTAGGTACTTTACACCTTTCGTATTTATACTTTTTAACTACTCACCTAAAGTCATGGCAGTTGGGCGTCCTCAAGGAACCGCTGTATACAAGGTCGCAGAGTATGCACGACGCTTTGGTAGGCCTAAAAGCTAAGATCAACGGCTGATCCCAAAAATAGCTCATTAAACTTCTAAGCTTAGTATGATAAGTTAGTTTCTGTTTCATAATTGCAATTTTTCGGTTTGGACGTCTAGGTGTTCCTGTTATTGCCGATGGAGGAATTTCATCAATTGGACATATAACTAAGGCTTTGAGTTTAGGTGCATCAACAGTCATGATGGGATCTATGCTGGCAGGCAGTACCGAGGCACCTGGCGAATACTTTTTTTCGGATGGAGTAAGACTAAAGAAATACAGAGGTATAACTCAAGTTTAAAATATTTATCTCTGTAGAATGCCTTATCGTTATTGAAGACGTTATGTACATTTCGTTTAAAATAAGGAATGGGATCTCTTCCTGCTATGGAAAAAAAAGGAGGACAGCAACGATACTTTAGGTATTCGCGGTTTAACGAAGACGTAACTTTTGCTATTGAAGGATGATTCACAAAGTAGGCTAAACATTTCTATTCAGCGAAAAGGATAAAATGAAGATTGCTCAGGGAGTGTCTGGGGCAGTAATCGACAAGGGATCAATTCATCAGTTTATATCCTACCTAATAGGAGGTATGCATTATCATATTAGATAACATTAATTTCCTGATAATCTTGGTTTATTCAATAAATCGATCCTTAATTAATTGGGCTGATTATTATTAGGTATGAAGCATGGCTGTCAGGACATGGGAGCGAAAAGCTTATCCGCTCTTAGGTTGGGTACTGTACGTCTTGTTTTATGAATGTGCATTGCCTAACCTCATTATATGTGCATTTTAGAGCTAGAATGTATTCTGGTGAGCTTAGATTCGAAAGATATACCCATTCTTCAAAGCGCGAAGGTGGTGTCCATAGCTTATATTCGTAAGCCAACTTTTATTTTACTACCTTAGGCGCTGTACATGTACCCGCATGGAATATTAACACTCATTTTCTCTTAATTTAAATTGTTAAAAGATTCGAAAAGCGCTTATTTTAGACTACAGCATTACAGAAGTGCCCGTTTGATGGATGGATATTATGCTACAAAAAACTAATCGTAGTGCGTTTAAATTATACATTGGGTACGCATAGTTATGAAACATTAAATATCCAGATGCGTATTTATTTCAATAATTATAATTGAATCCAAAACAGAATTTAAACAGTCAACGTATCTTGTTGTATCTTAATGTTGTGCTTGCACTTCGTAAATGGTAAATTTGTGCGCTTTCGTTATTTATATCAAATATTTCAAGAGTTATATGACCTCCTCAAGACATCCCTAAAGAGATTACTAGCCAACCTATTCATTCAATTTGTACTTTAAATAAATAGTACAATGATAAATATGCATCCCTAGTAAATATAGTATAGTAAGATATTTAATCTTGTTTTTGTCTACTGACATCTAACAATTTGCCCGTACGTTCATGATATTATGAGATATAGTACCAGGTTTAAAATGAATATAAATTATTAGCCTATATTCTTAAATGACACTTGTGTCTAAATAACAAAACATGTAAAGTTTCAAACAATATACGAATGCTGACATACGCGTATTCCTACAATCAAGATAGCTAGTGTATCCAGAATAATCTCCCGTATTAATTCACATAAATTTCATAGCTCTATTTTAAAATAATATTAACCCTTCAGATACCTGTTTTCTCACCAAAATGGTTTTCCTTTCTTAAGTGTTATCGAGTTGAAAATAAAATACATAATATATAAAAACCTTATCTCTGACACTACCTGAATAGAGTAATAGTGGCTTTCTTTAACAAGAGTTAGGCATAAGAATTTAAAGCATACCTATGTAACATATGAGGGATTTATGGTGAAGTCATCACTGAGTACGATTTGTAATACAGAACACTAATTAGTTATACCGTATATAGTAGTCCAACTGTAGAATCGCAGATCAATATTTTGTCAAATTTTGGAACTATGTACAAAACTCTTATTACCATTCGGTTCACTTAAGGAAATAACATTTCTCGTATTAGTATGAAACATTGCAGTACTACCCCGTTAATTTTCTCTGATGTCATCGTTGCATCACGATATCGTTACACTGTAAAGTAAAAATTTGACAATTTAGATGCTACAGTATACTTATACAAAAAAGCATACAAGTAACATGCAAGACATTGCATACTAACTTTAAGAAACTCGTGAAGATTCTAACGAACTCTGCTACTATCTGCGAACAACAGATATGATTGATTAATTTTTCGTATTCGCGACTGTTGTAAGTTCACAACTGTTTAAACTTACATACGCGTATTAAACTATGCAAAGACAAGTAGAATTAATTCTCAAACGTCCAATAGGTCAGTGAGACTCGATGTTCCTAAAATAAATTTGTAACTTCGAGACTAGCTGTAAGTGTTATGCAATTAATGCTCGATTTGCAACTCATTTCGACGCATTCTCGATGGTCGTTAAGAAACTACGGTACAGTGGTAAAGAAAGTAACACGTCAATCTGCAGCTTACATTGTTATTAAACTAATGTAAATGTTACAGTCGAAGAAATTATAGCCTTAAATTCGCCCTTTATTGTAATATCCGCGTATGCAATGTAAAATTTTTCGCATACCCGTATACTTATCAGCAGACTTAAAAAATTTAAGGTTTAACCACCTAAAATTGTCATAAGCCATACATAATTTAAAGAGCTAAAAAATTAAGCTAACGACGTAAACTATTTCTTAGCTTTTTGTCTCACATGTATCTACACAAAGCAGATACAAAACTGTATACGACAGTATTTCATCTTCAAATTCTAAAGCCTGTTTCATTTGCTGTATGTATACTCAGAGATACTGTATAATTTACTCCGCTAAAACTAGTTATTTATTAATTTTCTTCAATTGCTCGTGCGTACAATACGTAGATCTCACCTGTGAAAACGAAAACTAAATTTAGACATTTGATGACCTTACCCGATTTGGTTATGTGAATCACAATAAAGGTACAGCTGTTGTTAAAAATAGGAAGCTTTACTTGATACCGTAGCTCACTCAAAATAAGAAAGAGTCTTTTATTATGTAATATACGTGTGCATCCGGTGTTAAGTTAATTATTGAACAATCGAACGGTTGCTTACTTTATGATCACATTTATCTCGTTCCCGATGCCCAATATGACAAAATTATAAAACAACATTATTCATATAATATATTATATCACTATAATGTCATCCAGTTACCCACAATACGAATAGTAGGAATAATTATTTAGCCAATCACTCACTATATTACGGTTTATATGAGTTAGAAATTAGAAACTTTGGGTTTTTACTAAAGTTACACAATTCCATGCAGTAACTCTTTATTGTTGGTGTTTTCTACTAGTTATAATTAGCAGTCAGAATGACTACAAATTCATCCAAACGGTAAGCTAATCTACAACGTGAATTTAGCTTGTATAGCACGAAGGGTGAGTAGGCTCTGTTTATAAAGACATATCTCAGCCTCCCGTTAGTATTCCACTGCAGTTAGGCCACAATACTTGATCCCAATAAATTTGCCTGTGATTAATGAGCATCTCCAATACCATACATGCTTTACAAAACATGCAGGTAATAATACCGCATTAACCATCATTGCACACAAAAAGATTTCACTACAACCGTAGTTACTTACATCAAAAAGCATAGTCGTAAGTTTACATTTGTAATATTACTATTATCCTCCTTCGGAGGCACATTCAAACGGAGCGGTGATGGGCACTCATTAACTTTAAAAATCAATCTTTCGCCATTTACATATATTGAACAACCCGTATAAGGCCAGGCTAAAGACTGACCCTTTTATAAGAAAGGAAACCAATCGAGAAGACAACGGGGTAGACGGAACCCTAAATGTTATAAAGATTGGCATTAATCCGGTATATCTCGAGAATCATAGGTTATCAGGCAAGAAAACGCAGGATTTAACTAACGCTATGTACGTGTAGTGTATTCCTTAGCTGTAACTACCTTAATAATTCTTGTACATCAATTGGTTTACCCCAATTCTCAACTATTCCGTGGATATGGCCAAGTCCAACCACACCAACCACCACCGGCGGCTGCGGATCCCACAATGTGTCTATCATAAAGAGTAATACAATACACGAGTATAAGCAGATTTATCCCATTATCTACTTTGCGTAGCCTATAGTACTCTACACCAGCTTTCATTTACCAAGGTGCCTTGATGCTATCTCTTTCGCTTGCAACAACGAATATGCCAAGTATGCATCACGTTCATCAACGATCACTCGAGCTAACGACGGAAAAGTATCCGTTATCTCATGCAGTAACTCCATTAGCAAATCTTGATCTTTCATTTTTTCAATTTCTTCTTTCCTATTTAACAAAATATTTCATAAACCTTCATATTGTACAACAAACGACAGCTTCTTGATACCAATCGCATCAATTATATATGTTGTTAAATAATAACTATTATATCTAAAACGTTCTTTGCGTACGTTATATTCTTATCGGAGGTAATCAAATTATAAACTAGTTTTATCCTTTGCCAAATACTTAGACTTGCCACAGTCCTTTTCATCGTTATCTATAATTATAATTATTAAGTAAGACTTAATATGACGTAATACTCTTCTTTAGCAGTAGCGTTACCTCTATAGGGCGATCTCCCAAATGCATTTTGCATCCTGGTACTTGTAAAGCCTATTCATAACGTAGTTTCGATGAAATTTAGTTGATCCGAAATTTATGTAACTGTAAAACAAGATAAACTTTAATTTATTATAATTATGATGCCTCTTTAACTGCAGCACGAAACTCGCATCCGGGTGCAACTCCTAATTGCTTGGTTATACTGGCAGTCAAATTAATAAACAATAAATGCACAATTCCACTGAGAACACCATTCTAAGAAAGAGAATTACGTATGTAGAATAGTCTTTAGATATCAGCATATCAACTAGTAACCCATACCATCAATTAATTAAATTAAAAATCGTAAAGCCGCTGTCAAAGATCGCGATGCGATAATACGCATGGTTATATAACATTACTTAACATAAAAAGGCGCATTCATAGCCATACCTGAGAAATTACCGATCGCACTTTCCTAAGATCCATATTCTCTGCTTCATCTATCAAGCGTTTCTCACTAATTGTAGCAATACTTGCTCTGCTTCTGCACAGTTCTATCATAACGACATCAGGTTGTACTGCACGAATTAACTAGAATACATGCATAAATACTGCAATTAGACAAATCAGATCAGTAATTTAGTAAACTACGATTGTGAAACAATACTGTACTCTGCGATTAACTGCTAATGTAATGACATTTTCTCGACTTTCACTAAAGCAGACTATCTCAGCATCATTCGATTTTTAAGTTATGTTAGTAATTAAAAAATATAACCTACGTTATAATACCGTATAACCAATTACTGTAGCTTTTACCTCTTCCACTTCCCTGCAGCTCTCTTTACTAAAATGTGCAGTTCCAATTAAATAAATACTCGAATTATCACGTTGATTATCAAATTTAATCACCGACGGCGGTAAATCGTAGGAATTAATATCCTTTCTTGTTTGTTTTCTTAATAAATATTTTGCTACTTCATCTTCCACATCATCTCTTTGAGCACGTGCAAAGTTAATCTCAGGCACATTCTCGTTAAGCTTCGATGTTCCTGAAATTTTATATTGACAGTGAATAAGGTACGAATGACAAAATTGTCCAGAAACGTAAAATATTGTACTGTACAGTACACTGTACAGTATAGGACTGAGTGAAATATGCAAACCAAAACTACAATATACGTATCTTTCAGTTATAGCTTAACCTTTAATTGATACCATTCCGTACTGTACATAAGTACACATATTTGTATAGTGTACGAGCGTATACTGTATATAGTATAACTATTCATCAATTAGAGCTTAAATTTTTACTCAAATGAAGATTAGTGAAGATAATTATTTTTTTCATTTCATGAACTTTCTTATCAGGCAATTTTTCATTAACAGCAAAAAAGATTCGCTCATTCTACTGTACGTACTGCACAGTACTAGTACACTACGGTATACGCGTACACCGCATTGTACAGTACAGTAAATCGTTAATTTGCGATACACCCTATGCAGAAATGTACAATACAGTGTGCAATTCATATGTATCAGAACATACAGTATACAGTATTGCGTTAGATATCGACTGTTTTAACTTGATTAATTAATTAATTTTACAGCAAATTTATTTTCGCCGCTGCGTGTAAGTACTGTCGGCTTACACCTGGCAATGGTTTGGTAGTAAATTAAAAGCTAAATTTTAGATTAAATTTTATCACACCTGTAAAACTACCCTCCGCCATTATAGTCCAAAATAGTATTGTAATGTTAAGATATTACAAATCAATGATGATGATAAATGATAGATTCGTGTACAGGCGCTGTTTGTACATAAAAATTCAATTCTAGCCAAATTTCGAAGACTCGCAGGTCGCAACTTCTTGTACAGTACTGTACTGTACAGTACTGTTTTGTATTTTAAGTCTAGGATTTTGATTTCGCCGACACTGAGAAAAGTACTGTAGACACCAGCATGGATGTGACCGGACAAGTGGACATGTACTCGGACGATCGGACACTCGAGTATTTTACAGTCAATTTATTGCTCCAAACACTTGTATTCGTTATACTGTACGATATAAATAACTACATAGAGTTTTCCTTTTAACTCTATGATCCAGCCTAAAGACCCTTAACTTAAGGGTCTCTAATTTTTTAATCCAGCCCATAGAGGTAAATAAAAAAAAAAAACTACGGTGTTAGGGTCTATACCATTGTGTTCGAACATCAACCTATAGTGTTATTTACCGACAATGGTTAAGACGGCACAGTAGAGAAAATTCAATTATCGTATTTACAGGGTTCTTTGTCGGGCACCCAACCCTAGTTTAAATTCAGGACCCTGGTATATACTGTACTGCACACTGTACAGTACTGTACCCGGGGGCAGGACATACTAGAAAGAGAGAGGGACGCCTAGCGGCCGGCCATTCAGTATAAAATTATGAGAGGGAGGGCTTATCATTTTTCTGGTCATTCTACTGTACGCTACCACCGAAACTGCATACTACACTGTGCAAAATCAACCAAGCGGTTACAGTAATTTGGATGACAATCACGGACAGTATAGTGTATCGTTTCAGACATACGGTTCATGTGAGATGACTAGCAAAATAGTCTGCACCTCATTTTTAGTATACCAATGACAGGTGTATCTCTGTCCGTCTCTTTCTTCTTTTAGTACTAGTCCCTGACTGTAGTGTACAGTACACTGTACAGTAAATAAAGTACAGTACTGTATTGTACAGTACAGTACAGTACAGTACAGAAAAATGACGGATTTTACAGTGCACTACTGTACTGTACAGTGTACTGTACACTAGTATACAGTATACAGTACTGTACTATACTGTACTAATAAATATGATTGAGAGGCTGATTATATTATTATTATTTTAATGGTCATTTCAACTGTATCATACTGTATGTCTCTAACGGCACGCTATACTGTACTTTAGATTGGTTTTGTGCAGTTCAGTACAGTACTGTACAGTGTACACTGGCCGTTGGCTGTCCCGTTTTTCTTTTTTTAGTACAGTACGTAGTCTATGATACAGTGTACTGTACAGTACAGTATTGACGTTTAGTAGACTGCAGTAGTACAGTATTGTACAGTATCGTACAAAAACGAAAATTCTAAATTCTATTGCAGTAGCAGCAGTGAAGAGCGTACTCACATGCCAAGACGTTCGACATCACCCTTTTTTGTAATCAACATTTCATAAAAGGAAATTAAATTAAATTAAGTTAATGATGCAGCGTCAATCATGTAAGCTTAGCTATTAAAGAACGAATTAATAACTACACCCACTGAAATTTAAAGACAACATTTTCGTTCTTGATTCCATAGTGTGCGGCAGGTAAGCATTGATAATTAATAGAACTGATGTGAAGCATACGTACGTGTGCGCTTATAAATCGTAATTGCGACTTACGAAGTTGCGAAGTGCGTCACCACGATTTAAAAATCTGGGAATAATAAATAAGGTACAAATGCCGACCAATCGTGCATACTGTAAGGCCACGGCATTTTAGTTTAGTTTCTTTAGTTACTAAGACGGCGTAAGAATTCTCTACTTCATTCTGACCCATAGCGATTTTTTCTTTTCCTTCTGTTTCGAAGTGTTAGTTATTTCGTTTAGTTAATATCTCTGAAACTATCAATATCGAATTAGAGTCAATTATTACTGTAAATAGCTCACGATACCGATACTTAACTTTCTTATATTAATTAATTAATCTGTGACGATATTTATTGTATCGTGCAGTCAGTGAATACACGAAATTCACAGTTACGCACAGTAATGTAGTTCATAAGTAAAAACAAAAAAGTGAACGTCCATTTTACCTAGGAATGATACCAGAGAAAGCATCTAATATTTAAAAGATTCAGAGTTTTATCTCAGCATTCAAGTAACGTATGTTGAGGACCACATTATGTAAGGCCACATTCTTTGATTTTCTTGTAACTATTGTAAACTGCGCGGTAAATGTCATGGATTTATTTCGGCTTTATTTAAGCTTAATTAAGTACATACTTGGCGAAAAGTGTCGTAAGATCCAAAGAAAAATCGCCTTTTACTACAATAGCAGTCCCAGGCGACATTTTAACATGACTACGCGTACTGTATCACTGTCGATATTCGCATTTCAAGCTGCTAAAAAAGGCATCAATCTGTACTTCTGTCACTACTAGTATACTGTACATTAGTACTAGTACTGTCATTTTTTCGTTATTTATCAAATTAAGAATGTCATTAGTAATAAGAATTAGAAATAGAAGCGTATTTATAAGCACCTTTCTTTCAGGTGATACTGAACGATATAAAATATCTGCATTGATGCTTTTCCACAACGAAAACAAACAGATCTCTACTTACTGTACCACCCGGATTCTTTGGTTAGTAATCATCATTGGCAGTGCAAAGTGAGGCAGCCGAACTTTATTTCAGTTTACAGAAATCTTAAAAATCTATGATAAAGTACTGTATTAACAATTAAATGAGTCGGAAAATATTAAGTAGGCTCGTTATTAAAAAATGTAAACATTACTGTGTAACACTTATAATAACTCATGAAATGATCTAACCCTCAGAAAACTTGCATTTTCAGCTTAGATATGAAGTTTCTACATACGAGAATACAACATGCTTCAATAGCGTCGGATCAAAAACATCAATAAAGTAACGGAATCAGTGCAACGTCGCACACCATTATATTTCATAATCAACCAAATTGTATACTCGTATCATATTACGTTCTGTATAGAATTTAAACTCACGAATATGGAGAATCTCAAATCTATTGATAAACGATTTGGTCAGCCAGTCCGTACTTTCACGACATTCAATCAAACTGCGGATAAGTTATATCTAAACCCTAAAGTTAGCCCGGTAAATGCGCTGTCATCTCCAGTTATTTACCAGCATTCTTCTCTCCAAAAGGATAGACGTCCGAAGAACTATATGGCAGCGAGCACAGAACGCGCTGATACAGGATATCACCAACACCATCTCTGCGATGACAATGTTGACAATTGTACTAAAAGAGATTTTAATAATGCATCTAAGAATAAACAAATTAGGCTTGGAAATCATAGTTCAAATAAATCTATGCAGCAAGGAAAGCAATTTGATGCCAATGGAAAAGGTCCTATTCCAAGCGGCCTCAATGAAAGCAAAGCTACAAAATTTTCTTATAAAATGAGTAGAGATGACAGTGAGTCAACATATAATGATGCTCTTAAGGGTACTGCAAGATGCGATACAGACGGTATCGAACATAGTTATGGTTACGGTAATCATAAACCGTATACTGTAGCATCTTCCAAGGCCACCACTGCTGTACGCAATGACACTGAAAATCGCAAAGCCTTAAGAGCAAAGCAACATCAACGCGTTCACATCCAGTCCCATAACATAACATATGCAAATGATGCAAAGAGTGAAAATTCTAAGAACGAGCAAATAGCGAATTTATCCAAATCGTTAGATGTTGGAACCAGAGTAAGATGCGGAAATTTAGACGAATCTTCTTATCGTGAAGGAAATCACAATCATAATTTACAGAGCAAAAAGTCTGACAGCGGTGTCTCTCAAGCGAATAGTCGTAAAACTCACAGTATTTGCGATAAAAAGAATTCGAAAGGAGCTCCAGGCATGTCACATCCGAAAGTCAGTTCAACGAACAATAAAACCTCCATGAGTGCGATATTAAAAGAAAAATGCGAATTGCTAATGTCAAAGAATAACTTACTCCCTCGAAGCAATTCAATGGATGGTGCTAAAGAACCTATAGTCCATACAGATTGCAAAAAGCCTAGCCAATCTGTTGAATTTTTGCACCAAGTATCTAGATCTGAATTTCCGATTACGTTTAGAAAAGAATCTAAAGAGCAAAATTCGAACAAATATCCAAGTTCGGAATCTCTTAAAACTGCAGAATTACGACCCTCAATTACAAGAAAGTTAAATGATACCAACACCAGTACGACCACCACTAAAAGAATGGTTAAATTTGCTTCAGATCGCTACAGTACGTCCCACGTCCAATTAAAAAAATCTCAAAGCGTAGACTCTCAACTAGACTACAATGACAGCTCACACTACTGCTATGAAAGTAGTCGCCCTTGCAAGGACGAAAACTTTTATGAATCCAAGGACCAACCAAATCCGAGGCGAGTACCACCTAATTACAATGGAAAGGTATCCTCTTCCAATAAAATGAAGAACCGATACGAAGCAGGTCCTGCAGCTCACAACAGCCAATCCGATAACGACAATTATATATCAGAAAGCGATTTCGATCATTCTAGCAATGGTTTTAAGTCAAGCAAATTCCTTGGCAGCAATACTAGTGATTGCTTTGAAGGTTTAAGGTTTGAAAATCAATCGACTCCCTGGTATCAAGAAATTGCAGAGCTTTCTTATTGTTTACCAAGTAATAAAAAGTCTAATGCGGATGTAAATGAAAGTTCCTACAATCATAACCGGAAAGTAAACAAAAAACCTGTAATTGGAAACACTGAATCTAAACATTCGATAATCCCCAGCGCTAGTGGCAATCAAAGTCAAAATAGCGATGACTATCATGATAATAGCAGCGTATGCACTAAAGATCTCGGCCATGACAGCGGTATTGATTCTAGTGCTAGCTATCCACAAAAATTTATTCTGCATTATCACGATACGGAGAATAGCGTGTCCCACATATGTGATGGTCCCAGAGAAGATACAGGTAAAGGAAAAAGCTATTACACCGATTACGAAGGTCCTAGTCATACGCAAGTTACCGCTACATTTGCTGTCGACAAATCTCGCAATTGGGTAGGAAAGGATTGTACCGAAGTTAGTCATAGTAACTCGAGACACAAAAGTACAAACTCACCACAAGACGATACATCATCAACCGATAGCACTTTAGCCACTTCTGATAAAATTTTGAGCTGTAACAACAACCAGAACTTCTATCCCATTAAAAATAGAGAAAATAGTTTCGATTCTTTAACGCACTACAGCAAGACATCTGCAAGTACTAGTGGCAGTAAAAGCTCAAGAAAGCGTATATCTTACTTATTTGAAGATAAAGTTGAAAGAAAGTCAGTTACTGGTAGTAATAGTGGTGGATCTTCGTCAACAGAGGGCAGAGGTATCAGCTCTTCGATTAAGAGGGACCGTCGCCGATCTTCAAGAAATCAATTGACGTACATAGCAGTCGATGAGAAAAGCAAGAAAGTAGCCAATAGATCAAATGTTAGATCTACAGCTCTTGAATGTGCAACCAGTAAATCCAAGCGAAAAGGAAAAGGAAAGCTTAGCAGTACTTGCAAAGTCTCATAAGAATGGGCTCTTTAGGATTAGAAACTTCCAACAATGCTATAATTATATTCTTGCTAGGTGGATAATGTAAAATAATAATGTTCCAGTCAGTGTGCCAAGATGCTGACTCAAATTAATTAATATAGGGAATGCTTAAATCAAAGCTCGACTTGGGTACAACATTACGTACTTCAAGATCCTATATCCGGAAATACTTTTTAACTTATACTTACAGTAGATAATTTTTTATTCTACACAATAGAGGCATTGAGTAGTGTACTGTACCGTAAACCATTTGTAGAAATGTATTTCGTTCAATCGTGGAATCTTCATATGCAGCAACAAATTTTAACTTTTTGTACTTAAAAATAGTTCTAAGAATCTTTTCAGGAAGCCTTTGTTATCATTCGCCGGGTGTTAATCACGCTTTTTTGAAACAATGTGTGCCAAAATTTGCTTTATTGGCCTTTATATTCTGTATGTAGCCTAAGTGATTTTAGTACTGCAGTATGGACAAACCTTTGGCTCTGCTCCTGTAAAAATACTGTAATGGAACGTAGACAATATGCATATACACTTAGTAATAAGCTGTATGTAAGGACATTAGCGCCTTCTAATCCAAGATTATTTTGACTTTATAACAAAGTATCACTCCTTGGCGTTTGAAATAATTATATTAATTATTAGACAGCAGAGTCTAGAGCTCTTGTATTGAGATTTTATTCTTCACCAGTCAAAGTCTCACATTTGTAAAATCTTGGCATAAAGAAAGTAATATTTAGCTATTCTCGAATTTGTCTCTCGATTATATTTATATGTGTCAATAACATTGATTTTAGCAACTAGCTATTCACTGCTAATCTAGTATTTTGGCGTCGCTTTTATATAAATTTTATATGAATATTTTTGTTTAAACAATTAAACAGAATTCTCTTGATATCTCATGGTACCGCTGTTAGCGAAATGTAAATCGTATTTCATGCAGTCAGTAGTTAATGAAGCGTTGATGTTTAGGCGTGATTTACGCATAGCACACACAACCTAATTATCACAGTAGTGTACAGTGTAGGTAGGTTGTACACATACTGTACGACGTAGGAGCGTATACCCAAGAACGAAGCCGCATATCACCTTCATGTAATGTGGAATGATGTCAGACAAATAGAATTTGGTTACTGAACTCACAAATCAAGATTAAAGTATTATACAGAATAAGGATAGTATCCAGTTTAGCAACCTTTTGAGCCATTGATATAGCCATAAACTGAACAGTAGCAACCACCCGTAACTATACTATAGTTTCTCAAAGTATACACGGTATAAAGTTACTGAACCTCTGACAGGTCTATCAAATGGTAATACTATCAGTTAATTATTAACAAATGAGCACATTATCGTAAACCGTCAGCAAAGCGACGGGAGTTTGTACTAGTAAAGATGAAAACCAATTTATTTCTACAGTACTGTACAGTACTGTATGTTTCTACTGTACCGTAGTGTACCGTACTGTACTGTACAGTACACAACATTACAGTACTGTACAGTACAGTACAACAGAGATTCATAGTCGCACAAGAGAAGTGAACGCACTCGTATTACTAAAAAATATGCTGTATCAGTACGAGAGACTATTGAACGGCCGCTAGGCGTCCCTGATCAGTACACTGTACAGTACAGTACAGTAGTTGGCTGATCTGCAGTATTGTACTGTACACTGTATAGTGTGATCCTTTTCCAATCCGATGAATCAGCACATATTATATGCGGGCATTTTTTTTACGAAATCCGTTATATTTTTTATATGTGGAAACAGTAAGCTCTCATGGGCATGCTTTTGCAAGTTTTTGGGGTCAATTAGATGTTTAAAACGTTTTTTTAACACCATTTATGGGCGTACCGTTATTCTTGTAAAAATTACAGTACTGTATACTGTACTGTAGTTGGTCCCAGTGTACAGTACAGTAGCATGGTTCTAGATACTGTACTGTACTGTACTGTACTGTATATTGTTTGGAGCCCTGATCAGTAGAGTACTGTACAGTGTACAGTACTGTACAGTACAGTAATGTGTTTACAACGAGTACAGTACAGTACTGTACAGCTTTTTATTTATTTATCTTAAACAGACTATAACAACAGAGCAGAGTGGATAAAAACCGCTTGTACGATTCTTACGACACACATTCTGCGGCAAACGCAACTTGAAATTTCTTATCAACAAATTAATAAAATGGCTTTCAGTATGAGAAGGAGAAAGGTTAGTAATTAATTTCTAAAATTTACTGTAATGTAGCGAAAGTATAAACTTTATAAACTTCACATAAAGATTTCATTAAACTATGTTAACTTGATACATTATGGTACGTATGTAAGAAAAATATATGCTGACATGCCGTAGTGTGACCATACTATATGGTATGCGTAGTAAAATAATGTATAATTTAGCGATGAAATGAATGCGAAATATCAGTATTACTGTCCAGTATAGCAATGTATACGTACGTTAGTTTTATCGTTTTTATGATATTAACCCTTCATGTCGTGAACCGTAAAGATTTTCCCTTGACCTAAAGTACATGACCATCATTAGGATAGTTTATCATGTAATTTTTGTTATCCTAAATAATTCATTATGAAACTCAGTCATGAGTTATATTACATGCTATCAGAGTTTCATGCTAACAATTTAAGTATAACGAAAGTTATAATACAAGTCAATTTGTTACAGGGACTGCAAATTTTGTTTCAATTTTAACTGGAAAATCAATACAAAATTGGTTTATAAATTAATATGCTGGATTAACATGATGTTGCACTATGTTACGCTCACTAAACTAAGTTAAACTCGGAGAATTGTAGTCGTAAATGAGATTCTGATGTGTATTTAACGTACAGTGCGGTTAAGGAATTCTCTTAGAGAAGTCCCTTGTATAGTCCATGTTCATTTAGTTAATTATAATAATCATACTGCAGAGATGAAGCCTTTTCTTTACCTCTATGTTTTTTAACTTTCAAGTTCGGTCTTTCTTTTCATAGCCAGCAGAAGCAACTCGCGACTCTGATACTGGCCGACCTTGCTTAAAATGTCGCCAAAAATGTCCTGGATTTTGTCACCACTCTTGGAGGTAAGAATAATCCCTATAGTTTTATTACATTTTTCATTACTTGGACGTTTTTATGCGAAAGTACGTCTGGTAAGAGGATGTTGATGTACAAAAATGCGATGACTCAGACTATTTTTTACTCTAATATTGTATTGTCGTCCATCGCATGTCAATACCCTGCACAGTACTTAAAACCAAATTTTAGATTGAAATAAATATAAATCATAGTAGACCTTACGAATACTGTAGATAACATCAGTCGGTATTTTCAGTCAGAAACATCACATAGTATTTATTATAATTAATAATGCAATTCAAGATTGAAAGACGAATGCTTTCTACTGTAATTTATTATATGGTTAGGCCCTGAGCTGTAAAGCTTAAGCTTTGTATACGAGTGATTTATGTTGTTCTGTGATATCATGGTGCATATTTGTGTACTGTATACTGATAAAAATTAGAGACCTGTAATGTTTACCAATCGATTCATGAATATTACAGCAATGCCATAAAGTTTAGATACTATGAATTATACTGCATAAATCGACACTCAAGTTAGTGACGAGCAATGCCACGATAAACACTCAAATTAATGGACAGTTTCGATAATTCTGAAATCTTTCGTAGATTGGGCCTTGTTCGGAAAACACAGTCGTTTTTAACATCATTTTTTGAAATGTCTTAACATACTGTATGATATGTAGGTATGATGTTATCATGAACTGCTGAAAAAGTATCTTTAATTCGCATTTATAGCTTGCAGTATAGCATTGAGTGTAGATTATGCTGTGCGAAGAATAGTTTGAAAGAAATAGAAAATTAGTATTTGCGAAGGTATTGAAATTTGTTCAATATACCGTACAGACATAGAATGCACTATGGTAAGCCGATATCATTTGCTGCCTTCGCTTTTTCATACCAGATATGAGAAATTATGTAATGCTGTACTGTATACTACAATATCAGATAACAATATTTCAGTAAACCCATTCATGATGTCTATTTATGTTATACGATCATTGAACTCACAAAGAGAATATATATATGCATATCGATGAGCAAAGCGACTTTCTGATCAGAATATCGATCATACTGGTTTCTAATCACGGTTATTGGCTGTAGACCGTCAAATGTTGGCAACCTAACCTCCTACCATATTCTATCTCTACTTCTACAGTCAATATGAAAAATTGTTTCACACGAATCTCTAAAACAGGCTATGAAATTAAGCTAAATGTGGCCCAAAATTATTCTTATATGACTTGATATGATCCTATAAGATGAAGTACACTTTTGAAACAAATCTAATTTGTGAAATTACATAAGTCTAAATTATTGTTCCGCAACCCTCTTTCTTATTCTTAAAGAAAAATTTGCCGTCACTGTAAATGTTCAAAGAGTGAACACGATATATTAGCCGATGATCATGAAAGATTTGTTGAAAAAATGATATTTGAATATTATAAAGTAAATGGACTATCAGACTTTAATATAAATCCTGCGATTGAGGAATATGCATGGACGCCGCCCGCATTATCAATTCGACAGGTATTATAACGTAATATTTTGTAAGACACTTAAGTAATTCATGTATATTCGTAAGATCTGGTTGTACTCATTTGCATCAACTATAATATAATTAATTAATGTAGATTGAAGCCTACTTTGACTGCTTACCAAAAGAAAACGTTCCAATCATTGACAGTGTCGGTAAGATTTAAACAAAAGATTTAAACAAAATTACGGAATACGTTTTATACTTTTACGTGCTTCCGTTCGTTAGCAAAGCTATCAAATATCGACTATTCGCTGTACCTGCATAAATTAAAATCGGTCAAGGTTTGCAAAAATAAATTATTCATTTAGTAAAATAGCAGCTGGATTACGTAATTGATACTTGGTAGGTTAAAGATGTGATTCAGTTGATTCTAGCATTCTACATAGGAATTGAACAAGGTTAACCATATCAAGTAATCTTTTGTAGATAAGGACTTCTGTAATACTTATCACAAGCATCCTTCCTATAATATAATGCGCATATAGTAACGTTACTTATGGGTTAGATGTCTAGTAATAAGTAAAATCTTGATAAAAAAGGACGTGCAGGTGTTTACAAAATGGCATTGCAGTAGTCCAAATGATCACCTATACAATTCGTAAAATGTAATCATTCATGCAACTTTCTTATTGCCTAGGTGATAGATACCGAATTCAACAGCTACTTTATCAGCATCCAGCTCATGACTATGACCCGAAATTTTGTTACCGGCTATCAGAAGAGGAGAAGAAAAAGCATAGGCAGTTTTCTGCTACACGCAAAAAAGATGCGTTTGGCCAAGCAACCGTGAGAACAATAGGATCTAGAATGAATGGCCATGAATGCGCTGAAGTGAGTTATGCTACACCTTTGGTATAGTAAAAGTACCACCTTTGCTTAATTAAATTATTAGTCGCATAGTTATGCTCGTAAGTTTAAGATCGACCTCACAGTTAATGTCATACTGTAATACCTGGATAAGATTCGATTTCTTGCATTTTAACTTGCTCTCGTAAAAAAATATCCAATCACCACAATAATTATACAAATTACCTACGTGAATCAAGATTTAGAACCTTTTTAAAAGTTTCTGGAATTTTCTTAAAAACTTCTTGCTAATCCAGAATGTTGTTTTTAGTGTGGAGAACAATTAAATCATGGGGAGTTAGGATTATTCGCATCGCATGCAGTTCCTGAAAACTTGGTTTGGCACCCAGAATGTTTTATTTGCTGCGTTTGTGAAAATGGATTAGTAGACTTGATCTATTATTACAAGGATGGTGAAGTTTATTGTGGGCGGCATCATGCCGATTCCGTAAAACCTAGATGCAATGCCTGTGACGAAGTATTATTTATTTTATTTTTATATTCGTTTCTAATAATACAAAACCACATTGATAAATATTTTCCTGAATTAACAGATAATCTTCACTGAGGAATGTATTCAAGCACATGGGCGAACTTGGCACACTGATCACTTTGTTTGTTACGAATGCGAATGTAGACTTGGTAGCAGAAATCAATATATTATGAGGGATGGACAACCGTATTGTTGCAGGTGCTTCGAGAGTAAGTATAATGGAAATAAAGTTATCTGGGCTTAGAAATATAGTAGTACATCATAGCTTAAATAGTGCCGTACTACTGAGTGCTGTATTAATAATGCGATAATATAACTGTTATAGAATGTCAGTACTATTGCACCTTATTTTTATATAGGTTTGTATGCAGTATATTGTGAATCATGCGGAGAGATGATAGAATTAAATGACGGTCACATGGCTCATAACGACATGCATTGGCACGCAAGTGATGATTGTTTCAGCTGTAGCGAATGTAATCAGTCTTTGCTCGGAAAAACTTTTTTGCCAAAGCATGGGAAATTATACTGTTCGGTTGCCTGTTTTAAGATAGGTCGTATGCCAAGCGAATATGGCGGTTCGGAGGAGTCTTTAGTTGAGTATAGCGACTGTGATATAAACCATCCGCAACCCCCTACTAGCAGTGTTAAAGACATTGGAGTTGGTATTAGAGGGCAACTAAATGTTATTCAAAATAGTAGCGAACGCAAATTGAAAAACTCTCAAACCAATCGGAAATACTGGAACCGTCATGAACAAGATCATATAGGATCAAGCGAAGTCATTCCTGAATCATTTACAGGAGCTTCTTCAGGATTAGCGTATTCCAGGAGTCAAAAACTTAACTCCTATAGATCTCGCGACAACAATGCAGAATTTTCGAAAAATAATTCCAATATCCGTCGCTCTAGATCTCGATCAAATGGTCATGACTCGGCTCAATCAAATCCGAATAATCAAATAGAAGTAGAAACTGCTAGTGCAAATGATCATTATAATTATAATAATCCTACGAAAAATCCTCAGCATAGAAAATCTCCAAAACAAAAGAAATACACTAAAAATGAAACAATGGCCCTTGAGGGTCCCAGTTCAGAATTGAAATTTAAGAAATATTCGTCTATAGATAGAATAGGTGAGGGTATAGCATATGCTCAACCGCTTGACAGAATTAGAGAAGCGGATCAAAGTATTCTTGTTGCAAAAGGATATAAGAAATCGGAATGTATAACTGGTTCTTCGAGTGACGACTCTCAGCCCGACACCAATGTGACTTTTAATTTAGTTGGAAAATTAGATATACAGAGAGGCAAGTCTCCACAAAAAGTTAGCACGGCTAATAGTTTTAACGAATCCAGAAAAGAGAAGAAAGTACGCATTGTTGATGAAGCCGTTGACAAATCAAAATGTATTGTTATGTAATTGGAACGCAATGGTTCTCGATGCCAAATGTAACTGATTCAACTTTGTTTAAAACGGTAAAATGCTACGATTTTGTATATAAATGCAGTAAAATTATGCGCATGCATATGTAAGACTGTTTCTAAAAGGACGATTAAATTAAATAATTATTACACTTTCCATGGACTACTAGATTATACCGGTACATCTAGTAGTCCATGCACTTACTAATATATAATTAACTCTTGTCGTATCTGTTACTCCTTCACTTAAAAACAAATAAATTGTATTTATGATACCGTAATTATAATTACACTGTAGTATAGAAACACTAGGTTAGTCTGTGCCACTACGAAATACTTTCCACTGTAATGTAGATAGTGAGATTGATAGATGGCGTAATTAGCTATAACTCCCCAAGACAATGTAATCTTACTCTGTTATGCAAACGTACATGTACTATGGTATGCAGTAAATTCTACTGTACAGTATATTATATTCTGTATAATTATAACTTTCAAACTACAATTTTATACTCAGTATTACAGAATTTATCACGATCTTGCCCTAACCGTAGCAATTGTTATACTGTTCTGTGGGTGCAACTTTGTGTAAGTATAGCGACGCAAAGTCTGTTGAGGTTCCTCCTAGACTACTGTAAGTGTACTGAATATCGTACACTTTCTTTATCTTACAGTACAGTTTTACCTATGAAATGTTATACTTTCATAAATGGGTAATTAATTTATTATTAATGATATCATGCGCATTTTAGGACTTCGAACACTATACCTGTAAGGGTCTACTTTTGTTACAAAGTAAAATTTTAACTGTGTGCAATAGGGACTAATCAAATTATATATCCCATTTTGCAAATTTAAATAAATCGTCGCTTATTTTAAAGAATAAAGCATATTTTAGTTCATTGTAATCTGACTAATAATATTGACTATAAACTGTAAAAAAATTATAGCATATGCAAGTATAATCCTAGCAAAAATTCGAAATTTTGTTAGTACTCTGTTCACCAGCTGTCTTTCATTTAGGGTAAAACACTGTACAGTATACGCTATGATATATCTTACATATGGAGAGACCTTTACACGTACACCATAGTGTAAATTAAGCCCCTAAATACAGTGAAACTAGACCTATAAAACTAGATCCGCATGAATTAACTCTTAAAATGTAGAATATGAAAGCAGAAATCTTCTAAAACATAGGTAACCAGTTATAAATAAAACATTTAAACGGCATTCTTATAGCTGTAGATTTTAAACGAAAGAGCTAACGATACTTAGCAAAAAAGAATGAGAAATGACAGCTGTTTAATGTCATCAAGACACCGGTAATTGTACTCATAGACCTAAAATGTTACTCTACAAAAATGGGTAGCTTTGAGATAACTAATCCCTGCCAGGGACCTCTCAAGTCGAAAGGACAGAAGGACGCAAAACGAACGTTTCCTATACGAGAAATTTGGGGCCGACTATTAAACTTTCTATTTTAACTGTATTAAAAGACCATCCGTGCGTAGCATTGTCTACATCAGCGCTTCATAACGCTGGTACCGAATATTGCAGCAGTGTAACTGTACAGTACGATAAAGTGACCAGAAAAATGACAGGTCTCCCAATTTCTAGCGATGAACGACCGTTTTGCGTCCATCTTTCCTTCCGAATTGAGAGGTCCCTATCCCTGATAATACAAAGTTCTTATGATATATTCTTCACGAAGTTTGATAGCTATAATTTAACAGTTTAACTTCCGTATATTTCTTTATACTACAGAATATATACAGTATACTGTATATGAAACGAAGATAATACAATGGGTTATTACGGGATCTTATAATTAGCTATCTGTTACTAATTGGTCTACCATAAATAACCGAGCAACTACATTTTGTATAAAGTTTATTTAATCTCCCAATGCATAATAAAATCAATACTCAAATAATATTGTGATACGATAGATACATTGTAAAAGTATATATGCCGTATACCATATATACAAGCTTATAACGTAGGCATAAAGAAATTGTAATTTAAAGAGTTAACAAATCATTGGCATTGACATTCATTAACCGACGTAAACAAATTTAAATTGGACTTAAACCACCAAATTAACTTAAAGAACCGCAGGTATACAACAGAATGAACTAATTTCAAATTTCAATAGATTTTTGGTTGGGCTTCCTAATATGCCGCATGTTACTACCATTTTGAGTCGGTTTAAAAGGCGCATTAACCCCATAAGGTCGTGGTATTGGCAATTCTGTATCATCATCTGGTATATATGCATTCGGTCTTGGCTCTGCTGTTGTAGATATACCACCTGGCAGCATGCATTTCTGCTCTTCTTCGCTGATCTGTATTATCATGATTACATTAAAAACAGATTTTGTAAAAAATTCTTATCCAAATAGAAACAAAATGAAAATCACTAAAAATATCATCCTACTTGTAACAAGGCTTGTTTATCACGAACTCGTTGAGATTCATTCCTTTGCTGTTTTTGCCACTCTTGCTCAATTTCCATTGATGGAGCTTCACCCATTTCCATTCTAACGTAACACTGCTCAAGCACTCTTTCTCTCTCTTTAACAATTTCCTGAAATTTCATTGTTTGAGCCTATACACACATATTTTATAGAGAAATTTAATTAATAAATACATTTATTATACATACCAGCTATATACATCGCATATATATATATGTACTCGTAATTATAATTTCAAAGAGGCAAAAAAGTATCCTTCCAATTCAAGGCTTATATTAACCGTAAGATGCAATATCAATATACGCGTATCTATACCATATTTATTGATTCTATAAACGCTATATAAATATTTGTTGAAAGGATCATTTCAATAATTGCATGGAACCATTAATGTTGTAAGCTTAAGAGTAACTATAGTTAAGAAATTCCTAGCTGTAGGTGTCTTGCATTAATACAAGTATGTTAAATTTGAATCAGTAAAATAAAATTATAGCTGAATCTTTACTTTAGACTTTAAACATTACATATTACTTATTACGTAAATGTCTTGAAATGAGCACATTTTTGAATGAGTAAGGATTAGCTATACCGAAGAAAGATAAAGCATAAACACTATACAACTCAAACCTGATTCATGGATAGTTCCGATATCTTTGACATCGTTTTGCGGGTCATCTCCTTAATTCTGTTCTTTAAGTCGTTAACCTTTAAAAAATTGAGAGGATGAGATATGGAATAAATTGTTTACCTAAGTCTCATTGAGTTACCATTCTAGCCAAATTTAGAGTATCATCTTTCCTAGAATTCATCTTTTCTTCTGCTCTCTCAACTAGTCTAGAAATTTCTTCCAGAATTAAATCCTTTTCCAATAAAAATTCCTCTTTTTCGGATAATCTAATTTCAAGCTATTGGGTTACAAACTGCATGTTAAGATGTTATGGTTAAATAATCAATATCCAATGTAATCATTACTTCACCCCTTCAATTCTCTTATGTACTTCCTCTAAAGACATGTCTTTTCCATCAAGAAACCTTATTCTTTTAAAATTATCTGGAGATTCTACTAATTTTTCTAATTCTTTTGCTTTATCCTGGACACTTGAAAGCTATAGGTTTGAGGATGTTTAGCACATAACATTACTATCATATATAAGAAAACATGAAACAGTACCTCAATTTGCAGCTTAACTAATTCGTCATCGAGGTCTTTTCGTTGTGAAATTTCTTTTCGTGTTACTTCAATAGATCGTTTTAACTCAGTAATCTGTGAATTTATCATAAAAGTCCACATATAAATCCTAACTACGCAAAGATAGGCATCGAAAGCTTATAGATGACATAATAGGTTTACCTCCATATTCATAAAGCGAATCATCTCATCCTTAGCATTTATTTCCAAATTTCCATTCCTAATGACGGTATCTGTTGACAGAAGGTTATCCCACATCATTCAACTTAGAAGTATAGTATAATATTAAAGTTTAATCATACCAGTGTAGTTGATACACGTTAATATCAGCATACCTTGGATATTTACTTTTTCGTAAAAAACACACACTTCTTCATTTCGCTCAATTAACTGAATTCCTCTATAATGGTTAATTGATCATCGGTTGACGTTTGTATGCAAGTAATTACTATTTTAATAAGTAATTAAACCCAGAAAAATTATAAGCTACCTTTCATTTCTATCCTTAACTGCTGATTCATAGCGTTCCCTTAACTTTACATCATATTATAACAGATTAGAATGTGATAACTTATAACGTTTTACAGTAAAGAAAACACATATTATTAGAATTACCCGGAGCATATCTAATTCAGCTGAATTGATTATTGAATTCAGTTTGGTAATATTTAAACGCTATTGAGCATTAATATAAAAGAAATTAGTATAAAGTACATTCTCGCTTAATTGATTATGATACCTATTCAATACATGTAATTACTGATCTGACCTGCTGCTCAACTTTTTCTCGATTATCTTGCTGAAATTTAAATTGTTTACTCAGTTCGCTTCTTAAACTATCTTTGATAATTATGGAATTGCTATGCTTGAGCTTAGATTTTTGATACTGCCTAAAGTATTAATAAAAAAGGGAAGAATTTAGACATCGAGGCTGTGATAGAATAGCGAAAACTTATCCATATAGCTTGATGATATACGTAGACAGCATATAGCGACGCTAAATTTATTACAAACAATACTCACCTCTCCTTAGCATTTACTGAAGTACGTAAAATTTCAATTTCATTTTGAAGAATCTTTATTTTTTCTCTCATTTCAGCAGCTCTCTATAAGGAATGTGCATATCAAATTTACTCCAGATATCACCTCACTTACACTCTACATAATGAATAATACTGATGTCAGATTATTTTAGTAGCGCTTCCGTACCTGAGTGCTGGTTTGAATTAAATTTACACATTTATTACGATCATTTTTAATTACGTCGTATAATTTTGCGAAATCTTTTAATCTTTATTATAAAGCAAAATCAGGCATCATTAGAAATGCTATATCATAACACTATACATTTTTTTTATTAATATAGTTGCTAGTTACTAATTAACTAAAATCAGTCAATTGTAAACCGTCGCCACTATACCGAATTGTTTAACTACGTACAATTGCACCAAGCAATATAAAATGACAATACCTTTGCTGCATTTCCATATTTTTTTTTGCAGCATCCTGAATAGCAAGGTCCTTAATCTTTAGATCCTCTAAAGCCCTATGATAACGTAACTGAAAAGCAATACAAAATTACTTTATCTCTCTAACAATCATTACATTTTCAAATAACTCAGTTTATTTATCTGACATGCTCATTGAAACATACTTCGGCCCTCATAAAATCTCTGGATTTTTGCTCTCTTTCGTCCGTCTAAATTAAATATTACAATTGGTTTATACCTGACCTCAAGACAACGTTAGCATAAAATCCGGAGATCTTAATAAAATCATTTAAACTACATGTAGATCCGGCAAATGTAATGTAAGGAAGAAGAGATTTACATCAAATTTGGCTTGTAAATTATACATCCTTACAAAGTGAAGACATAAGGTACAATAAAATGCAGTAATAAACATCAGAAAATAGATTATCCAGAAAAGAACTTAGCGATACAACTCTTTGATAATTTATGTTTTAATATGTTACCCGATACCTTTATTGCAACCATTCTGCCAAGGTCCATAACATCATCTCTTAATTCGCATTGTTGGGATATCAACAGCTCCTCTTCAGCCATACAGACTTCGACCCGATTTCTCTCAGTTGATGTTAGTGTATTCTTAACAGTAAGTAGTATTATATTGGACTAATTATAAGTAACGAAAGAAAAGACAAAGAGAACAAATGATATCGGTTTGTAGGAGTAGTACCTGCTGTAAAAGTAATCGTCTAGCGGCTTCCACTTCCTTTAGTAATTCCTTCCGTTTTTGTTGTAAAGCTGTATCATCTTTTGGATGACTTTCTAACTATAAATTACAAAGTCGCATTCAATTGAAAGTACATTATATGCTACAAATATAATAGTAGAATTTTACCTGTAGCTTAGCTTTCGTGTGTATCGTTTTCATTAAATTATAAGCATCTTCAGACCCTTTCAATTGCAGTTCTATTTTCTTAACGTTTCTATGGTAAAAATCGTGCAATGTTTAAGAAGAATTACTGTGATCATAGCTAAAGTTAGAACGTAAGCAACTATACTTTAAGAAGCGTTCTTTCTCTCGCAATTTTCTTGCATTTATGTCGTGCTGATTTTTTCTTTCCAAATTTGCATGTCGTAGTTTTACTTCCAATGAAGCTCGCTGTTCCAGCAATTCCGTTTCTTGTTCTTTGCTAAGTTCAAACTGTTTTAATAAAGTATCATATTCTCTTTCCTAATCTCAGTATAAAAGGTAGATAGATTTTCATTATTAAATTGATAAAGACTCAGTCTTCAAAACACTTATAAATTATTCATACCCGTGCTTCAAGCAACGCAAAACTATTATCGAGTTCTTCAGTAACATAAACCTTGTTTTCCTCTAGCCGCCGTCTTCTTTCATCAAGCTGCTTCAACTGGGACAAAAGTGTAATATAAGTATGATTTACATAAAATGGTTTATTTGATCATTTAAAGCCATCTCTCTATATTAATAAACCTCGGAGTTGTAGTCTTCTGCTACTCTATCTAATTCATCCTTTCTATTAGTTATATCACTAAAATAAAAAGTAACATTTATTTTATGATTTGCTTTGTTGCAATCAAATTAAAATATTTGCTAACTTAAATAAGTCAGGCCTATAAACAACAATACAGAGAGCTAAACTTCCATTTAGGATTTTTCCAAACTATCATTCAATAAAATATATTAGCAGACCCCACACTCGTAATACTCGCGTAGTCTTTACTTGTACAGGTACAAGTTTTTGCTTTATGTACTCGTAAGTATGTACTCAATAGTACACACAAACACGGATAAAATTAACTTATTATATATAGGATATCAGGACAAGTAATAATATCACTTGATTTAAATATTTTAAAATATCCTTTGCATGTACAAATTTAACTGTAGAAATTGTAGAGATCGTTAAAGACACAGAATACAAAAAGGAACATACCTTTTATTTCTAGCTAGCAATTCATACTGTTCATGTATGTTAGCGGGTTCTCCGTGTATTCGGACCAAGTCATCCTTCATATCATAATAGTAACAATGAAGAAAAGATCAACCTCTATTTTCCATCAATATGAAATTACTTTACTCATTCCATTAGCTACTAACCTTTAAGATTGACTCTTCCTTCATATATTTATCCTAAAGAAATTATTTAATGTAATTTATATTTTATAAGTACGATAATCATCAGAACTATTTACTAACTATATGTTTCAGCAAGATCTCATGATCATGTCTTTTAGCTTCAAGTTCCTCGCTAAGGTTCTTGATTTCTAATGTTCTTTGATCTACAGAAGCCTTATATTCTTTGCTATCCTTAGATAAATCCTTCAACTTCTTTTCAATTTCCTACCAGATCATTAAATTTAATAAAATAGAGTCATGATCAAAATCATTCTTACTATAAGATTATTTTAGAAACTATTTAGACATTATGACTGACCGACAATTTAGGAATCCTTTCGTATTCGCGTTGGATTAATCGAACTTCTTCTTGTAAGCTATAATTAAATTATAGTTTAGATATATATGGGACTACCTGTTTATATTTTTCCCTACCTTTCTATCTCAAAATTGAGCTTATCACAGCGATTCTCGGACTGGATAACTTCATTATGATGCTAATATAGATTTCAAGACGGTGATACGGAAACAAAATTGGAATATAATAAATTATAAGTTCAAGGATGAAAATGTGTAGCAATTTGAAAGTATACAAGAGTTCCCATATATTCAGTACCTGCAGTAATTCTTGTCGTAACTGACTGACTTCAGTTAAAGAATCATTTTCAGGAAATTCTTCTGCCTTGCGTAAACTTTCCTTCTGCTTATGTACCGTCTACATATAATTAGCATTATGTATGTAATTATTCCATTTTTTAGATTCTCTACTTGATAAGAACAATAATTTGGGATTTTCTTCGTTATTTGTTACCGTATCTAGCTGTTTTGCATCCTGTAACAGTTTAACTTCTTTATTTCTGCAACTGAGTATGTAAATATACAGATATTACGATTTTTTATCACAGTAATGACTCTTGAAATTTATAGTGTAACTAATACATCATTTTAAAAAATAATTTACTCCTGCAACGCTTGATAGGTCTGAGAATAATTAGCCTTGAGACGGGCCATTTTTTCTCCGGTAATTTTTCCTTCATAAAATGCCTATTTTATATATGCAATACATCTGAATAAGTAACTGGGAATAATTTTTGGTTACATTTTTTGCCCAATGCATGTTGTAAAGAAATAAAATGAAAAGCAGAACTGTAGCTCATAAGTCTGTAGTCTAATACCTCGTCTAATGCTTGATAGGCAATGCTATTTTGAATATCATTGGTTTCCGGAGAAGCATTTAAAATTGTTGGAGCGATAGCGCTGACTATATAACTCTTGCCATTCGAAGAGCTATCATCACTTTCATTAGAGATATCCATTTAATTGACGTCGTTTAGGATATAACGGACCGTGCTCCTGTATTCGTATATTGTACGCGTATAGTATTAGAAAGCTATTGTTAAATACGAGTAAATAACCTTAGAGTTTAAATAAATTTAACCTATATCCCTGAATTACTATGCTACTAATCACAATTATTTACTTCAACAGATTTCTGTAAGAACGGTAAGTAGCACTATTGCCTCTTGAGTAAATGATGTGATAGTAATACTGTATGCATTTATGCTTACTTCAATATTTTAAGATAGTATCAAAATTTTGAACAAGCACGTCGTCATGGAAACCGTGAAAGTATCCGTCATCTGTCAGTCAGGGACTTCTAAGAAATCTCTGTATCAGAGTTTTAGAGCAATTGTTATTTCGACTAAGTGCAATTTAAAGTCTTGATAAAATCGCTTAAAACTTTAGTATAATATTGCATAACAGTCACCAAACACCGTATAGTACGTGTATACTGCATACTTCTCCCGTAAGTAGAACTACAGTAGCTTAACGTCGTAATGCAATTTCCATTGTATAGACTGGTTTATTAATAATTATTATAATACAGTGCTATTTGTATAATCGAGGCATTCAAACCGATGTTTGCTACATTAATTAGCAACCTCTGCCGTACACATTAGCTTACTACTGATTTTACAAAAGTACTATATACTCCCGTATTGCCATACTGTTTTTAATTTTGAATATTTTACTGCTGGGAACAACCATTAGAGTAACAGTAAGCGCACGGCCAGAAACCTTTCTTGCCATATTAAGAAGCATTTGGGCTTGATTAAGTATATAACAAAGTGATCGCATATTTAAAGAATTTTTTGACTAAATAGCTACGTGCATAACATACAAACTGACAATGGTTGCCAGTATTTAGGACTTACGATGTGGGTGTATGTGCAGTACAGTAGTTAATTAATGTACAATTTTAAAGGGATTAAGAGATATTTAGATCTTTTGATCAAGCTTTTACGTGCATGTACTCGTAATCCTTTAAAAAGTTTAAAAAAGTCTTGTCAGATCTTGATGAAAACTCTTCAGCCAGGTTTATAGCACTACCGTGAATATTTTACGTTAAAACCGAATAGCTTCTTTATTCTATAAAATACAAGGTATTAGTGCTCCCAATACGTTCAAAAATCATTTAACATGATCATCTGATAGGTTTATTTTTGAAAATCAGCTTCTTTAGCCAAATGTAACTATGTGCTCGTTTCACATCAATTACTATAGATCGATTGTTATTTAACGAGATTGAAATTCACAAAACACAACCTAAATGAAAACTTTGTCGGCCATGTAGCCGTTTCAAATTTGGTAATTACTTTCATTTATTAACAGATTTGTGGTGATCTTAAGAAGTATGACAAAATTACGTGTTACAAATTGGAATTTAAAATGGCAATTTCTTCGGCTAATTTGGAACGCTTCGCCATATTACTCTGCAGGTTATCTATGTATTTTTCGCGATCAATCTTACCAACTACTATCTGTTCGGTTAAAGATGCTGTCTGATCAAGAAGATGCTTGCGTTCCATTTCCTTAGTTTGTATTTCTTGAATCTAGGGAAAAAAGAGATATGAAATAAAAATGTAACATATATAACATAATCAAAGATTACTTAGAATTTCTCAGGTGTTTACCTGCTGCGTTATAGTGCTCTCTGCCTTTTCAGTACCGAGTTTTTCAAGGAAAACAGTAACATCAGCATAAATTTTTTTATAATCAAGGTCAAATTTCTTGCGGGCTGATCCGAAAGCATTGCTGTTTTTTTGCGCTTTATACTTGGAGATTGCAGAACTAAAACTTTCATAAAGACTTTCACGATTTTCTTGAAGGCACTGAATTTCCTCTAATATACCGGCGACTTTCTGACGGGCTTCATTTGCTTCGTCTTTAATGACTGAGAAATCCAATCGAACATATATAACAACGACAAGGAATAGTAGATACAACGAACCTACCACAAGCAGAGGCTCGCGTAAAAGCAAAATTTGGGAAAAATCATAGCGTAGCTAGAAGCAAGACAGACCACCTGCATTAATACCGAAACATAAACATTCAGGTAATATTTTGAAGTAACTTACATTAAAATCTTGAATGTGATGTTCTACTAATTTAGATTTATGAATAGAAATAACAGGACGACCAACGACATCTAAGTACGTAAAATGTAGCCCATCTGCATCACGCTCTACTTGATAAGGAGCTTTGAAAATGATATTTCTGAAATCAATGTAAATATATGGTTACTTGAAATTTAACGAATGTCGTAAGGGTTTAATTAATTGGTAAATTTAATTATATAAACTTGCATATTTATAGCAGCTTACTTTGCGCCTTCAGGTAAAATGATACGAAGCTTAATATTTTCTATCACACAGTTATCGAAAATATGGTCTATCAGTCTCATTTGCAAAAGATAAGAATTGCCATTAGAGTATAAATATTGAAAGCTTGGCACATTGTAACCAAGAGTGTAATGGGTTTGCCAACCACCGAATAGGGGGAATCGAGGACGAATATCGAGTTCGACCGAATCCTCTAACTGCAACATGTGGCTAGTAGATATGTTTCCAATTTCATCCCTATAGTATACATCTTTAGCAGAAGCAGGAAGTACAGTTTTAAATGATTTGACAGCAGGTATGTTTTCGTAAGATTGTCCTCTTTGAAAGTCGAATCTTGAAAAGGATCCTATATTGGTATATTAACTTCAATATATTAGATACTGGAACTTTCCCAAATTTAGATTGTATTAATATTCTTTATCACCTTTCAAAGCAGCTCCGACGTGCTTAATATGGATTTTTTCTTCAACAGCTATATTTCCCCAGTGAGAAACTTCGATCACTCTTTCGAGACTAACTACGGATAAGAATGGAGAGTTGTTCTCGTAGTGAATTGTTACAGATGTACCGTCAAATGCAGGTGTATTTCTGTATGGGCCATATGTAATCGTGCTACCGGACAAGCTTACGGGCTTCACTTTGGAATAGCTTTCAACATTACTAGAGGCCAAAGTTACAGTAGTTATTTGCTTGATAGTATTATAGGGAGAGAAAAAGTATGGACTGCCATCATAAATGACCAACTGCTTGTCCAATTGATTAATTTGGGCGGGATAAGGTCTCAAAGCATTCACAAAAACCATTTCAATTTCCACTGCCACAGTCCCACTAGGAGCAACGTTGTCTCTTAATTGCAGGCGGTAGAAGCTTTTATCCCTATATAAAACCAATTATTTTAGAAATCCTTAATTTAGCCTTGACAGTCGCGCAGAATCGCTAAATATCACGACACATAATAACTTCGGCCTCATTATTAATTAATTATCCTTTGCTAATAGTACTGTTCTGTGCTAAATGCAGCTTTGTATATGACATATAACTACAGTGGTAATAAAAAAACTATGCATAGTAATCAACTTTAATCAATTATTATTTTAACGCTGCATATGTGAATGTAGTTATACAGTACGGTATAAGTGTACATTTTTGATACAAAATCAATCCTGCATGAGCTGCATTTTACAATTATGTCATGCGTTGTTACTGTGTTCTGTAAAAGACGTGCATTTGTGCAATACGTATAAGTTTCCACTTAAGAAAAGCCGCTTTATAATTTACGAAAAGCGAGCAACTGTTTTACATTTCTAAGAAATACCTATTATCGGAGATCGAAACACGCCTCGGCATTAAAGGATGTTTGTTAGATGCGTCGGTTTTAACCTATCAACAGATATCCAACATTACTGCTGAAATAATATAAGTAATATACTAAAAATACAGAATTGCGTCAATTTAATACGATTGTATCGTCCTAATTTACATACTGTCGTATAGAAGGATAATTTAAAACTCGTGAACAACATAATAATCGTTCGTATTTTGTTATGGTAGCAATGAATATTTTTGATAGATGCTAAATAAGCTACAGTATTTATTACACTAATTATCATCATCTTTATCGTATAACTGTTCTCAATCAAATTATTCTAAATGTCATACAGTACCAGAGTGCATCAGTAAGTAAAAAATATCGCTACACACTTGTATTCTTTAGATCTAGACGTAAAAGCTAGCTATAACATCGGAACAAAGCACAAGATCACGTTCTCCATACTCTATACAGTACGTACGTGTGGTAATACCGTACACTGCTACATTGTACATCTACTGAGTAAATCAGTGACCCATAAATATACTTTGAGGGCTGAAGTAACAGAACTTCTTGCAAAAATTCTACCAGATTAGCATCTACTGGGTATTAAATTCAGTATCGACTATATCTCAAATTTTATGAAATATGCCACGCACTATGTTGCCTTACGACTTTGCAAAATTTTCCCATTTTTTTTATAAATTGTATAATCACAACAGTACCGCGATCTTAAGCTTACGTTGGCATCGATAAATGATAACATTTCATGCATCTTGGATTCAATGGCAATATGAAAGGAATTGATAGAGTTGGTACCAGTATTTTCCATCAAAACTTGAACTTTCATTTTGACTAGTTGGCTACTAATGTCAATCGATCTCGTAACATCTTTATTGACAATATCGTTATTCAATGAGTCTCTTAAAAGGCCAGAACAACTGCCAGACCACGTCAGAAAAAGTAGTAATAGATATGTCCGCATTGCTATAGTTTTAATTATCTTAAGAGGGAACTAATGAGTAAGGGATGGCGATGATCTTTCTTGGATGTAATCAATTGCTATAGATTGCTATAGATGGCGTTTCATCAAAGCAAATGCAATGAAAATACGAACAGGAAACGAACACATCGACGACAAAGGCATCCTAAGAGTGTGCGCACTTGAACCGGTCAGGGCGCATGGTACGGTGTGCGTACTGTACATTACTGTACTGTACTGTACTGTACTGTACAGTACACTGTCGTACAGTAGAGTTTTGCGAAAGACAGTCTTGCAGAGTGCAGACACACAGTATGACGATCATGGTGTAGTACTGTACAGTACAGTATTGTAATCTAGCATTTAAAGGAATGATGGCAATCAATGATACAGTATATCATAGACGAACAGAGGATGCAGAAGCAGCAGAGGTAATTTTAATTTTTATTTAAAACTTTATTCATTTCTTTCAAGATCACTGGTGAAAATTGGTGACGGTTATATAAAATCGCAAAATCTTACTGATTGTCATTTTAAAGCTGTACCGTATCTACAGTACCTTACCCGTACATCCACAACGTCAATCGGTCGAATAATTAATATTTGTGTTACTTTTATATTATTGAGTACTGTAGTTACTCATAGTTATATTATTTTAACCTTAAGCAATAATTGGGCTCATTTAGCCGTACTTATTCCATTCGCTGATAGGATTAAAAATTGCGTACTCGTTTACATTGGAGTATAGTACATGAGCATCACTCACAGATAGATTAATTCTTTAAAATTTGAATTTTGCAGTACAGTATTATGTTAACTTGTTATTGTCGGATTGAATTTACGATCGTACATAATCTTTTTTTGATTGTGGCGCTAGAATCATCAAGTTAACCGTAATTCTGAAATGTTCTAGCAATATTCAACAGACTGTACTGTGCGTTACACTTGCGGTTTAAGTTAATGCCTTTGATACTATAGAAATTTATGCTGGTCTTTATAGTCAGTACGGTATATTAAGTTAACAAATACGCATACAAATTCTTTTAAAATATTGCAACTTATTATTATAAATTCCCTTATTATTATACGCGTAGTTAACCAAATATGTGCTTTCGATTTCGGAAAGCACGCACTCACAATCACCACCGTACCCTAATTTATTAGTTCATTGCCTACCTAATAACTGTTTAATTGAGGTTACACATTGTACTGTACAGTGTATAATGACGTGATTTAATTTGCATTTTAAATTAATGAAAGGAAATCGCCTCCAAAATTTATCGACCCGAGAACTTCCTTAACGAACCTATACATCGACATTAGAGATAATCAATGGCCTATTGTTTATAGTGATCGTTACGATATCTCCTTCTTCGGCGTAGAAAAATTGCATCCATTCGATTCGTGTAAATGGGGAAAGGTCATGGCAATATTAAAATGTAGGTTGCTTTTAGTTGTCCATACAACACGTAAGTGTATGCTATATACGCACTGTATAACTATTTTATTGACAATCCCTAAAATTAGTAGTCAGTAGAGGAAAACTATGTTTTGACTTGATAAAAATGCCTGCTCAATTATTTTGAAGTACGGATGTAAGTATAACTGGCTGACTGTAGCCAGCTAAAAATATTTAAGTCTATCGACTGTTTTGTGAGAGCTGTAGAATAATTAAATTGCTGCTTTTCAACGTACAAGTGGTTATACTATTGCATTGAGTTTGATACTTTGTTACTTTACAGTTAGTACAATACATGAAGCATAAATGCGAGTAGATTAATTAAATAGCTTGGTATCGTTAATCGTTAGTACAAACGTACCAGTTTTCTTCGATATTTAAGCATATTAATGTGACTGACTTGCGAAAATACTTTGCACAGAATATAGTAAAGCGTGATAGTTACATTAACGGCACAGGACTACGAAATCGCACGATGTTCTTATTCCTATTACATCCTATCATGTTATTTTCTTTATCCTGCTATGTATTGACTTATGGGATTCAAAGTAGCTACAGTAATGGCTGCACAAAAGCAAATTCAGGAATAGTTTTCTCATTGTACTTTATCGTATACTAGTGGCATTATACTGTAAATAACTGATTCCTCGCAACTAGTTATGCGTTGCAATCAATAAATTAATTATATTGTGAATATTAAACGAGCTTACAAATAATCTTTTACCTAAAGGGTCTCATCAATGTACTGCATAATTCGTGTCATACGTAGAGGGTATAAAAGCCCAACTAAATTACGGAAGTAGGGTAGTACGTTACAGTATTAAGTAAAGAGCAAACTTACGAGATACGGCTCTAAATTTTATACAGTTGTACTATTGTGGCTGTACGCTATGTTATATTTAACTAGATAATATCATTTAGATATTACAATAATTGATTATGCAAAAAATTTAAAAAACCTTTTCAGCTATGAAATTAATTGGTGACGATGATATTGTAATTCCAAATGAAGCAACGGAAAATGACTTGCTGGTAGTCCATCCAAGCTCTTATCTGAAGAGTTTAAAGGTTTAATTCGGAGAGATACGCTTATTATAGCTGTAAATCTGTATAGCTAGTTTAAATTAACAGACACGCGTATTTATAAATAATTGATACTCTATCAAACTTTATGTGTAGTGTCTGTATCACATTGATCATAATACTGAGCGATGATTAATAGCAGGAGAAAGAAATAATACATGTACGTATACCTTAGGATTGACTTAAGGTATTAAGAGTATATACCAGGTCACCTGTTGAATTGGGTGTATGTATAAGTTGTTATACGCGTATAAAATAATATAATATAAACGCAACCTGTCGTTTGATAATTGACATCGCATTATTATGCCAAGTACAAGTAACATTTTTAAGATTAATGAAGGCTTTGATTTATTTATTTCATGCTGATACAGTGGAGCATAACCGTAGCAAATATAATTGAAGTACCATTCGTAGCGTTATTACCAAACTTTGTTGTTCAAAAACGTATATTGAAAGCATTTCGATATCAGACCGGTGGAACCGTTTTGGTGAGTAAAATTTAAATAAAATGATGACACTTAGAGTGTTCTTTATAGGAGGTGAAATTACCAATTGGCTATTTTATCATGCTGTATATGATTCACAGGCAGGAAAGTTAGCATTAGAAAGAGGATGGGCTATCAATATTGGTATAATTTTTGACTGATCAATTATAATTTCTTTTCAATTATGGCGATATGATCACTCTATCATATTTCCTTCATAAAATGAATGACTATCCCATGAGAAGTTAGGGTATTGTAGCTGTTGCCTTACTTAATGTTAGCTTGTATTGACCCGTAGGTGGCGGTTTTCACCATTGCAGCAGCGATAACGGTGGTGGATTTTGTGCTTATGCTGATATCACGATCTGCTTAAAGGTATACTATGGATGGATAACGCTACGTATTTATCTATAGTTTTAGAATTATTCCTAATCCTATTTCTAATTTACAACAACATTTTATTTTTCCTATATGTACTCTAGATGCTATTTCAGCACGTAGATGGCGTAAGAAAAGCTGTAATAATAGACCTAGACGCTCATCAGGTTTACTCGATGCCAAGATATTAATTCCCCTTAACATAGATTAACTATTACATGATAGAAATTAATTTACAGACCTATGACTGTATTTTATTGCAAATAATTTATTCATCTGAATGAACTATTTCATTTTACTTTCATTTTATGTTTGTTACTTTCAAAATTTAGGGTAATGGCCACGAAAGAGATTTCGCTTATAACTCTAACGTCTATATATTGGATTTATATAACGCAGACATATATCCTCGTGATAAGGATGCAAGACGTGAGTAGTATTCATAGAGAAAATTGTTACGGAAATATTCATATTAAATTTACTGAGATTTTTAGGTGGGATTAGTAAGGAGATTAAAATTAGAACAGGCGAAAAGGATGATAGATACTTAATGCTAATAAAACTGTAAGTAATTACAATTTTACTTTTCTGATTCGATTGCGAAATCGTTACAGTGATTTAAGAATCAAATTTCTATTGAGTCATACACATACCTTTGAATCTTTTGTTTACAGAAACTATCCAACTATTTTAGATGAATTCAAACCAGATATAGTGATATATAATGCTGGTAAGTTTTTGCTACAATTTCTGAAACCGCGTAAAGCTCAAATTTTCTTCACAAAGGCTCATACTTCAGCTAATTATTTGTGCAATGATTAATCTTCTCCATCGTTATTTCCATCCACTCAATAAGGTACTGATATCTTGGATGGAGATCCTTTAGGGGGCTTATGTATATCTGCGCAGGTTAGATGATGTATCAGAGAATTTCTTAACGCTTCGTTATTGTAGCTCTTAAACATACAAACGATCTTGTAACGGTTAGGGCGTCATTAAGCGCGATGAAATCGTTTTTAAGGAAACGCGTTTCAGAAATATTCCGATTGTGATGCTAACTTCTGGTGGGTATCAGGTATCGGACAAGAGATACTCCATTTATTTTATAAGAAACCCATTATTTAAACTGACTTACTAACTGACTTTTCCATGAATCTTTTTTAATTAACAAAATCCTTAGAAAAGTAATGCGAAGATAATTGCTGATTCTATAATGAATCTATATCAAAAAAAGCTGATAGGGAACGAGTATACAGCTACCTTTTCTTCAGGTAAGTCAGTTATGCGACCATCAAGTGTAATGATTTTACAAAAATTACATTGTAATCGACTATTTCATCACTATTTTAGATCAGAATCTAGAAAAACTGTCAGTAAAGGAATACACCTTGGAATCTCATAGTCAAGACACCAGATATAGTACATTTTCGGTTGAGGGAAAATAACAGCGTTATTATTACGTACGAGTATAATACGTATTAGCAATTTTTTGCCCCGTGTTGGCATTCTGTCTATGCAACCCGTATTTAAAGAAATGCTAAACTAAAGCGTATTTCTGGCTAACTGATATATCAGAGACGACATGTGGCTTAAACTATATGCTATTACATTTGTTAAAATTGCTATAATATTTAAGTAAAAGCATTGAGGATGTGCCTGCATCAATGAATGACATTTAATAGAGTAACTTTGTATACGCAGTTATTGATGAATTTTTGTACAGTTTAGCTATATATTAATGTAGCCTTTGATTTTTAGGTAGCTCTTTTAATATTGCATGTGGTATGCTATATTCAAAATGTAATTATCATTGACAAATGGTTTGCAGTTATAGATGGTTATAAAATTTTAATCATTATACATACACTAGATTCTTTTAGCTGGCTGCTTAAAACGATTTATGTCAAGATTTCCGCTTATGTACCGTATCTTGTATAGTACTGTACTTTACACTGTACTGTACGGCCCTATTTTTACGCACCTACAGACTACAGTACTTGTAGACTGTACTGTACAGTACAATATACTGTATAAACGCAGCGAGTACAGTACTGTACAGTACATATATCTACTTGTATTACGATCTGTTTATTAGTCTATGACTTGAACGCAAATCTAAAATTCTGTACTTTCATGGCACTGCCTGTAAAAACATGAATTAGAAGCTGAAAACTTGGGAAGCAATAATCCATATAGCCTCATGTTTTGATTAATTTAATATTGCAAAAATAGAAATCGAGAATCCGGCCTGCTATACTGTTCAGTACTGTACTTTGCTCATACACAGTGTCAAGTGTATTTTGCGCATTACGCGTTTTGTCCATTTTTCCGTAACTTGTCTGAGACTAGACCTGAGAAACTGCAAATTGCTCAAATCATACAGTGTACTGTACCTGGCAAGGTTCAAATTTACTGTTTGATTTGCTGTGCCTATAAGCTATAACCTTTTGACTGTGGTTTCGGATATTACACCTGAAATATGTTCACCACCGAAGATTCGCGGAAAACCCAGGCGTCATGAAAGGAATGTGCGGATTTCGCCTGAGTATCCCGTTGCGTACTAGTCGGATACATTGAATACTTTTTTAACAGTTGGAATATTGGCAGTTCGGCACAGTAAATTAAAAAACATGACGATTTCTGAACGACCGACCCTACTGCACCGGAATATCAAAATTTAACATATCACAGCTCCGATGCTATACTGTAATTTGTAGGTGAGATAGCTGGCACATTCACAATTTTTTACTTGTGAAGATCTTACGGTACAACTAAGCCTAAATAAGTACATCATACTATTACTATACGTACAACCTACTGTACTTTATCAGATTTTCAATAACATTATTTCTAGGACTACTGAGAAAAAATGTTTCCTTCTCTCATTTCGAGTATTGTAGTCTCTAATCACTCGACATCGTATCGATAATTCGATACGAACGACCATACTTTCTTAATTTTTTTTAAGGCGCCAATTAACAACACGAAAATAAAAATATATATTAATATTTTATTTACTTTATTTTGCAAAGAATTAGATATAATCCTATCCGCTAATACTTTACACTTTTAAAGTATACTCGTATATGAGTCAGTAAGAATTTTAATGAAAATTATACAGCAATCATAATCTTAAGGCACTAATTAAGAGTACGAAAATTAAAAATTCATGTTTAATATTTTATTCATTAAGAAATTATGATAAATAATTTGTTTTGCTAGGAACTTGAGATTTGCCTATATTCCAGTTCATGGCATAACGAAAACACCCAGAGTCAAGCACCAAAGCAACGTTACCGCTACCGAAAATAACATCTCTAAATTATAGTTAAAAATTTGAAAAGGAAATGAAATCGAGTAATATACAGTACATCTGACAGGTGCAAGCATGTAAATTTAATTAAGTTACATCATCCTAATATATAATTTATACTAGCAACTATCTAGTAACATTAAAAGTCCTAAATTAGAATGAGATTAAAGTCATTCCTTCCTTAAAAGAGAGCAATATCGGACAAAAGCATCAATTTAATCGATGTAATAAAACTCTATTTTGATACTATTATTGTAAAAAGCATGAAAAAAATTTATACCACTAAATTACGCTCGCTAGCTGTGAACTGTTTATTCGCACTTACTCAAGTTGGTTGATTTTTGGATTGTGCCATTTTGTTATACACATTTGAAAATTTAATTCATATAAGCTTGGTAATTGCTGTTGCCACCGAGCACTAAAAGAAGCATAAAGTCTTTCGAAATATATCATTCTTACCTTGAATATAGCCGAATGAAGACATTTCGATGTAAATTATTTATATGAAAAACATTCTTCTTTTATCGAAACTTTATTTAAAATCAATGGTTGGTATTGCACAGTAGTATTTACTACTATACAACAATAATTTAGCTACGCCTTAACCTACTAACAATTATCAGCTACATAATGACAAAATAGTGCAATGTTACAGTGCGCTATTAACGTAATAGTTAACATTACTATAAAATTGTAAGAAAAGATAGCTAACGAACCAAATATATGTACGCGTATACCAAATATTACTACGTAACATTAATTGCCATTCTTCCTATTTATAACTACTATAACAACTGATTAATTTTTATAGTGAGAGGTTTGTAATAACAATTTCAGATCGTTTAGCCCAGGATCAATATCCAGTAGTTCCGAAATATCATCTTCCGCTGCTATTTATCAACAAAACATAAAATTTTATTAATTAATTAATCAAGAAAACCTTTTAAGCCATCCTTGTGATCGAAGGATGGCACACCTGTTCTCTACGCTAGGTAAATAATTAAATTTGTGATATATTTAGCTATTACCCAAATATCATTCTGTAAGATAAATGTATACTACTGTACAATACTGAATAATTTCTGAAATATATCATCTTTTGTTTATATCACGTAAGTTCTAAGTATATCCCGCTATTGTTTGTTAACATTTAATGATAACAGTCATTTCAACGAATTCTTCCTTTTGATAATATCTCTTTATATTCAGAAATTTAACTTACAAATATTAAGTTCTTTTACATCATCTATTTATTTGCTCATTGTTCCGAATGATAAGTAAAAAACGGATCAAAATAGATTAAATTAAAATTTCACAAACCGTGTAATAGACATCATATACCAGAATGAAAGATATTTCTAAGTATGTACTAGATGTGACGTACTATCTTCAAGAAATTAAAGCTACTGTACTAAAGCACCCTACAGCAGGTAGTTACATCCGTGAATTATCTACCTTAATATTAAAAATAAAATTTCAAATCAAATATCAAAAATAGCAATAGTTCTCTAAATTGCTATACATAGCTAATGATACAGACCCTATCATCATTGTATCTGAAGGCATGAATATCCTTGAAATTCTTATATTTAATTTTACAATGTCAAACTTAATCGCTACCGAAATAATAAATTGAAAATCAACCCATTAAAACTTTAAGTATCGATGAAAGTAGTTTTACTTACTAAAGACAGACCTTTCAATGACATATTAAATAAGAACATAATTAAGGCCATGGTTAAGACTTATTTAATCAATTCAAGTATTACAATATGAATTATAATACATAAGTAAGACTCTAAAAATCGGTACTCTAAAATTCTATTGATAGCTGAAGCATAAATAAGGCTATTTTCATCTTATCTTAGAGCAACTAAATAGAATGAACTCATCCTCAGACGCATTATACTATCGATACTAAAGAACTCGTTTCTGTTGTGAACATTGATCTAATGAACAAATATAGTATCACTACTGCTAAACCGAACAACCTTATACGGTGGAGTATCTATGTGTAGGTCAAATCTTTATGGAAGACGTATATCTATGTACAGATAATTGTATAAATCACTTAATAGCCAGGGCAACCAGACATACACATATTACGGAGTGCATGTTAATAAGAACTGTATGGCATAGTAATATCCTACAATACAGTTTGGTACCAAGATAGGCGGACATTATACAGTATATGATTATATATATTCCATTATCAAGTATTGTAACGGTTTTAAGTTAAGTCTTCATTCGAGCGCCTGTCCTGTTCCTTACTCTTATATATGCAACAATAACAACCGGTCTTTTATCCAGTGATATATATAATATATCAAACGTTATCATACCGTACTATCTATCCCTAACAACTTAATTCTGTATTCATGTCTATAGCGTACCAAGTCATCGGTAACAACATATCTAATACTATCCACCATAAGAGCATACATACAGTGACGTACACCGTCACAAGCATGAATCTATTAATATACTGTAAATATATAATAGAAAGATATCGTATTTAGAAAATTGATAAATTAGGGAAAAATTTTACACGAGTGAAACAGACGATCCTAGAATAATGTAACTACATTCGCCTAAATACAATGCTGTACATGGTGGTATAAATATACCGATAGAATTTATGATAAAGGGCTTAGATTCGTGATGAGCTGAATTTTTCTGCTGTAAAAACAGAAATATTAGCAATAAATGATATCAATGGTGATATTTGCTTTAAATGTTGTAATTCAAACTCTAACAATATTTTTAAGATCTGAATTGTTATTTTTATTTTATATTTACAATAACTCCTCTCAGTACAGCATATCAGTGGGATTAATTTTCGCATAGGGCCCCTCACACTTTCGAATTCATTTTCAACCACTTATTCATTCTACAACGAGGATGCCACCTTCAATTACTAATTCTGAAAAAGCATAGGTCTGTGTTTTTAATTAGTGACAGAAGTGGAAAGTATCTCTTTGACAAGAAAACAAAAGTAGTATCTACAGGGAATAGAACCTAAGACAATCGTCATATCATTTGTTTGCTCATTAAAAATAGTTCTCCTATGACTAGTCATAAGCTTGTCT